TCCCCTCTTTCTTGTCCATCCCTTATCTCTGTCCGTGGTCCTTGTGGTTTTCTCCAACTTGAACACTTCTGTTTCCTCTCTGTCACATGAGGTTCAGTTTAAACTCATCTATGAACCTCCGATGGCACCCATGGGGTGATGCTTCCCCCTCCTGAATCTCTATTCTCTTGATCCCATTCTGCCTTGTATCATCTTACTGCATGTTTTTGGGCCCTGAACACTCGGAAAGTCCTTGAGGGCAGAAGCCATGCGAGTCACTCTTGCGTCCCCGGCACCAACCACACAGTAAGTCCTCCTAACGGGGGTTGAAAGAATCCTTACATTGTTGACATGGCTGAGACTCGTGGAGCCAGGCCACACCTGTTGATCAGCCACTCTCTTCCTTGACTTTGCTACAAAAATCACCTGCGTTTTCTTCTCAGGTCAAGCAGAACACCCGCGCCCCTCATTACAGACCCACCTGGCGGCTCCCTCTTCAGACCCAGATCTCTCGCCCTCAGGGCATCAAGCCAACTCCCCCAGCTTAGAATCTCAGTCTCAGGGCTCAGCCCGCTTCTGAGGGCCTCCTTCTCTGTCTTCCTGTCCTCAACTTCCCACCTATGGGACAATCCCCAGGCCTAGGAACAAAGCCAAAGCTTGACCCCAAGGCAGTGTCCCCTCAGAACTAGCTCAAGAGCAAAAGAAACACTGACTTCCCTGAGATCAAAGCTCTGTGCAGCCGGATCACCCGTGGCCTCATGCCACGCTGCTATGGCAACATGAATTTTAAGTAGGCATCAGCAGAACCTGCCTCTTCTGTTTCCACAACCCTGGAGCCAGCCTCTCCAGGGCAGGGCACCCCACAATGAGGACCCAGGATGCATCTGAGGGGACCTGAGTCATTTTGGGGGGTCACCCTGTAGCTGACATCCTGAGGCCTGATCCCGGGAAGGGCAGGGTGCCTTACGTTATGTTTGCAGAGAGAGAATGCATTTCTGGGGGAGACGAGGGGGCGCCGGCAGTCTCAGGGGCAAAGTCCAACAAGGAAGCTGCAAACAGTCCCCCACTTCTCTCCCCTCCAGAGCCCAGGCTCTTCTCCATCTTTTGCACAAAGATGGCTGACATAGTACCCAATCCCAGGGATGTCACCGTCTCTTGAGAAGATAAATCACAAACATAAATTTTGTATTGTATTGTATTGTATTAACGTATCTGTGGTCATAATACAGATTCCCTCACTTCCCATGAAGCTCTACACTGGGAACCCCTGCTCATGGGGGCACCAAACAAACACCCAAAGCCTCAGCAAAGCTGGGAGGCCCCACAGGACACAGGCAGGGAGACACATGCCCCCACGGTCTCCATGGCCACCCCACTGTCCAGTCCTCCTAGGTTTAGGACTGTGCAAGGGCACAGGAGCTCTGGCCTACTTGGTCTCATGCCCTGCTCTAGAAGAATGTGCTTGACCCTCAGTGGTCTCACTGCTGAGTAAGTATTAGTACAGGCTGTGCAGTATTGTTTACATCAGTTCTGGATGTTTGTAAGGATCGCCCTCATCCATTCATGTTGGCAGGAATCTAAATGTGTGTATAGACTTCTAGCCAGGCATTTGGCATGGTGGATTGGTCTTTAAAATATGCACACTTTTTAACCCAGTGATCCTTTTGTTTTTTTGTTTGTTTTTGTCCTGGGAAGGTACTTGAGGTGCACAGAGAAAAATACACCAGGATATTCAGTACAATATTGTTTTATGAAAAACAGGAAACAATTTAGTAGTCAAACCATGATACAAGCATAATGTATTAGTTTTCTATGGCTGCTGTAACAAAGTGCCACAAACTAAGTGGCTTAAAACAATAGAAATTTATTCTTCCATAGTGCTAGAGGCCAAAAGTCCAAGATCAAGGTGTTATTAGCATCCCGGGCAGCTTGGGGGGGCTCTGGGGCTGAGGACAGGAGGACAAAGCATACAAGAGAGACCTAGTCCCGCCTGCTGCCACCACCTCCTCCCCAACCCCACCAACCCAGAGGAAAGAACCTGCCTCAAAGTTCCCTCTTCCCTCTTTTCCGACACAGGTCTCTGAGTTTTTAAGGGGAAATCCCAGCCACCTCCCTTTGGGGATCCATGAGCCTTGGACTCCCTCTTCTGGTGAAGTGTGAGGAGGAGATTGTGCCCAGAGCGGAGGGCTGGGTCTCTGAGGCCAAGAGGAACAGATGTCCCACGTCTACTCACTGTCCCCAGCTCACCTTCTGGGCACCCAGGGGCCTCAGAGTACTTGGCTGGTACAGACTCCTTAAAAATCCTTCTTGTCTTTTCTAGCAAATGAACAAGGGACATACCATCTCCTCTCAGGCTCAATGAATTCATGGCCTCAAGTGGGCCACCAAGTGTCCCTCCTCACAGGGCAAAGAGACAACCACTTTAGGACTCCTGGAGAAATTGTTCTGCTCATAGATACTCAACAGAAGGAAAGTAAGCACATTCCTGAAATTTTGACAAATATGAAGGAATATTAAAATTGGGTGTTTTCTGTCTCCATTTCTGCTGTGGTTCCAAAGGCTGAAAATACAACAGTAAGTACCAAGCACTTTGCGGGGTTCAAACGAGATGCTTAACACATTGGCTGGAGTAACCTAAGCTGTAAAAAAAAAATCCCAGTCCTCTACCTCCAGAGCTTCTGACATGATGGACAGGATGGAACTGGGTGTGTCCTGGGCACTGGGAGCTTTCGAGGTTCCCCAGAGGATTCTGACGTCCAGACAAGATGGAGAATCATCACACCAGTGATGAGAAGACAAGTGAAGAAAAAAGATAAAAATATATTGGGCCCTGGATTTCCTCCCCTGCCTGAACTCCCCTCGCCCTGGATGATTCTTGCCTTTGGACAATGAAGTAACAAATGCAGAAACTCCTTCGTGTTTGAACTTCCTTCTAGGGACTCTTAGTCACTAAACTTTAGCCTGGACCTCAGTTACTCCAACCAGAGTCCTGCAGGCCTTGGTCATTGGTTCATGAGATCCACGTGGGCTCTTTAAGATTCTGGGGGCTTAGGAGCAAAGCCCCATAACACTAGTATGCAAGTTCAGGGCTGAGATTCTCCTTATTTCCAGACACACCAGCTGCTGGTAGGCCAAGGGTATGAATTGCTTTGCCTTCGATCTCATTTTAGACCAGTTTTATAAATAAAGGCATGAAATTAATTGGCCCACTCACCTTCCAAGAGAGACCTGGCCAATTTCATTTACTCTCTGGGAGAAATGGTTCTGGAGCCCTAGATGAGTGAGTCTTTGTGAGCCATTGGGGTGGATTCTGCAGAATCTAAAACGTGATGCTCTTTCCCTGGAGAAGCCCCTGTTTTCCTGCAGGGTCAGCAAGTGCCGCTTTCGGCCATGCACCTACCCACCACGCGTCTTTAGAAGAAAGATGAGAGATGGCTCAGTGGCCCCAGGATTCAAGTAAGGTAGGCTGTCTGAGGTTAAAATCAAATGTGGGGCTCTTATGTACTAATTGAATTCTGAGAATTCTGGGAGTTAAAGGGGAGGGGCATGATGAATGGTCAGGAAAACCTCTTGAATTTTTTTTTCTCATGACAACATTCCATGCATCTTTTAAGAAATGTTTTACTCACCATGGAAAAACCTCAATCCACTGCCCCATCCAAATATGATCCCAGTAGGACCCTTCAGGGAAAACCTTCGGGGCTTTGGGCAGAAACAAGTGACATGGGCAGATGCCCAGCCTCACAGGGCATAACCTACCATTTAGCTCAGGGTCCCTCAGCAGTGGCACTGACCCTGGACCAGGTAATCTTCTGTTGTGGAGGGATAGGGGGCTGTCCTGTGCATTGTAGGGTGTTTAGCTGCATCCCCGGCCTCTCCCCACTAGGTGCCAGCAGCTTCCCCAGCCAGCCTTGACGACCAAAACTGCCTCCAGTCACACTGCTCAGTGTCCGCCGGGGGCAGGGTCGTCCCTGGCTAAGAACCACTGCTGTAGATGCATGCCGTGAAGCAAGGAGTCACAGCTGCATGCCTGGGGACTAGCACAGTGCCTGCCTCGTGGTTGGGGCTCCGTAAAGACTTGCTTAGTGAATAGCTACAGAAGAGTTTGGAGGGGCACACCAAGGCCCAGACCTGCAGAGGTGCCCACTGGCTTGGTACAGCAGTCATGACAATGAGTGCTCAGGTCTCCTGCTGCAGGAGCCTGTGGACCCATGGCCAGCAGCATGTCTATGCCAGGGCCAGGCTTCCCTCAGGTACTCCCAGCCTCTGACCTTGTCTAACAGGGGTACTAATGCAGAACCATTCCCGCAAGACACAGGACCCCTCCAACAGTGACTTTGGCTGAGGGACTCCCTGACCGCCTGGCCAGAACTCTCTCCCCCTGCCCACTCCTCTTTCCCCAGAGGTCATCCTGGCATCACGACCCCCTTCTCCAGCTCCTGCTCTTGTTCTTCACAGGGGTGTCCCCAAGAAATCTCTTGCCCATCTAACCCCATATCGGTATCTGCTTCTTGGTGAACCTGAACAACACCCCTGACATTCTAGAAGGATACCTTTCCCCAACCCCCTTCCTGTGTGATGTCACACACTAGGGTATCCCTCTGGCGAGCATTGTTGATAAAGGCATCATGCACAAACCAATTTAGGCAGGGAGTGAGTTCTTTGTCAAACAAACAAATAAGCAAACAAAGGAGACATGAGTTTAACTCATTAATAATAGGTCATAAATACCTAAGACACATGCTTACACTTCAACCCAAGAAACTCTTACAATCAACCTTTTATTGGTTTTAAGGCAGCAAGTCATCTGATCCACGTGCCTTTCTTCTGTCCAAAGGAGAGAAGGTCGGGGGCAGGGAGGGAGTTGGCCACTGGGAGTCCAGACAAAGCACTCTTCCCCCAAACCCACCCCGTCTTGGCTCTCAGCCCCCAAGTATGAAATTAATGCACATTGGTTTGGGAGCGTGTCCCGTGGCCCAAACCAGCAGAGTCTGCCAGGAGTGCTTTCCTGATCCAAGGCCCCTGGCTCGGCCAGCTTTTCCCTAGGCCAGGCTCTCCCAGGGGCAGATGACCTCCTTCTTGACAGCCCGGTCACCCGATTCTCCTGTTCCTGTGTCCTCTGAGTCCATCAGGCAGGTGCCATTCTCCATACACACATCCATTTTGATCTGGAAAAAGCTTCAGACGCAGGAGAAAGCCAGTGGAGGGGTTGCAGAGGAAACACCAAATAGGAAGAATCAATATACTTGCACACCTACAGACATGTGCGCACATGTACACACACAGGCACAAACATGTGTGCACATGCACATGCCACGGACACATGTGTGCATGCATACACACATGCACACCACAGACATGTGTGCACACATACACCCATGAGCATGCCCACAGGCATGTGTGCACACACATGCACAGTACAATCCCCTCTGGTTCTTACTTTGTCACCCTCCTGGATTTGAGCCGTGGCAGCTGCTGACCCACATCTCCCAGGGGCTGCACCTTCCCGTGGGACACAGCGGGGCACTTGGGCGAGAGCCTGGCAAAGATCGGAGAAGCCAAACAGCCTCGTCTCAGAAAACTGCCAAAGGACTGAGCCATGCGGGCCTTGGGAGGGGCTGTGGGCAGGGGCTGGAGCCCGGGGCAGTCGGTGGAGGCCTCGCTGGGGAGAGCGTTTGAGGGTCCTTGGCGGACACTGGATCCACTGGCCTCCGCCTTCTGCTCGGAGCCCAAGGAGCTCTCCACATCCACCCTAATGGGTGAGGGGCAGACGCTGTTGCTGGGTCTTCGCATGAAGCGGCCTGGCGAGGGGAAGGGCTTCCTAGGGGAGCGGCAGGAGGGAGAGAAGGGGCTGGAAGGAGAGGGGGGCACGCAGGTCCCAGTGTACACGGCCAGGTGGGGGCTGGGGGCGGCGTGCTGGCCAGGCTGCGGGGGAGGAGAGAGAGAGCTCAGAGTGAGTTGAGTGAGTGGTCAATGGGCCCAGGGGCTGCCCTCTGCTAACCTATCCCCTGCGGTGCCCAAAGCACAGGCCTGGCATGCCTATCCCCTGGGAAGTTGGAAAGGGTGCCCAAAGCCGCTTGTGACAATGTCATAGCCACTCAGGGGCCTCCTATCAAGGAGTCTGCCTGTCCCCAAGCGCTGGCTGTGGTCCCCAGGCTTAAGCACTTGCATCCCAGGGCATAGACTGGGCTTTCTCCAGGCCTGAGGTGTTGGGTCGTGGCCAGGTTGAATTTCCAGTCACCCCTCAATTCCAGTCCCCCGATGAGCAATGTGTAGTACTTGCCACATGCCATCGTTCCTTCTCTATCCTTGGTTCCCAACCGACGGACTGGAGGCATGTAAAGCATTTTTAATAGGGTGACAGAGGTGGCAGCAGAAGCCCCAGCGTGTGCCTGGCTGCCTCTTCCACACCTGAGACCACCCAGTTTGACCTGAACCCGTACCTGTGTCCACACTGAGCAGAGCAGGGGGACGGCCTGCACCCAGCGCTTCCCCATGCCTCCTGGGGGCAGAGCAGGGCGGCCGGGAAAGGAGCTGAATGTGGAGCCTGGCCCAGCCAGGAGGGAAACAGGAAATACGGGGCAATGAGGTCACTCATTAAAGAAAAAGTGTCTCGCCCTCCCTGGGCCACCACGGCCCCAGGGCCCATTGGGGCACGAGGCCTGGGTCATGCCTCAGGCATGTTTTCAACAGCCTGAGAGAGCTCTGGCTGGGCTGGGAAGTTAAAATTGGAATTTGGGGGGAGGAGAAGAAAGCCCAGCAGGCCACAGTGGACTTTGCTGTGGGGTGGGGATGAGGTCCCCATTCTCTCCCAACTGCTTCCTGGAGTTCAAGGTCAAGCGAGATTCCGCAGTGAAAAAGCAACTCCAAGCCACTGATTCTGCTTCATTGCTCAGCTACCCACAGGTCAACAGACCAGACCAGGGGCTATTGGGTAGTTACACTAAGCTGAATGGTTGTTATTGTTAATATGCAGTGAGAACTTAGCAAATGCAAGGTTCTGGGCTGAGCACTTTATGCGGATTATTGCATTTACTTCCCAGAGCCACTCAGAGAGGGAGCTAACTATTATTACACCCATCTTACAAATCAGGAAACCAATACTTAGAGAAACCAAGCCCCCGGGACACGCTGCTGGGAACGACGGGGAAGGCTTTGAACCAGGTTCACTGACTCCCTAGCTTGCACATGTGACTGCTAGCCGGATGTCTCATCAGAATCACCCAGGGTGCCAGTTACAAAGGCACATCCCGGCCCCACCCCAGACCCACGGAAGGAGACTCGCAGGGCATGTGATTCAGGGAAAGCATCATCTAACTGAGACCCAAGGTGGTCGTTGTGTCCGGTAAGTTTGAGGAGCTCTGAGCTATGCTTCTAATGCCTCCTTTCTGTGGGGACATAGTTTCCAGTAGGACAGTGTGCAAAGAAGGATAACAATAGGTGGAGGGAGAAGCTGGGCCCTGAATAAGGGTTGGGAGACGGCTGTTAGCTGAAAGAGTAAAGCCTCATAATTTATTAGGCGTCTACTGTGTACTCGGTATACTACAAATCTATAGATGCCTCATTTTAGAGAACAGAATATTGAGGACCAGAGGGGTTCATTACTCTCCCTAGGTTCTCACAGCCAATCGGTGAGTGTGATATGTACAAGAGAATTCCAAAGTGACCCCCAAGAATCCTGCCCCTGCCCTTTGTGTGGGTGTAAACTGTAAATGCTATTGAGAGGCACCCCCATGGTCAGGCTACGTGATAGGTGAATTTAAGAAAGGACTATTAGAGTGAGCCTAACCTTATCACATGGCATCCTTCAAATCGGAGTCTAAAGGCCAAAAATAAAAGAGAGGTCTGAAACATGACAGGAATTCAATGAGGGAAAAGCTCTCCACTTTCTTGGCTCTGAGATGGAGGGTGTCTGCATGGCAAGGAACTCGGACAGCTTCTAGAAGCTGAGAGCAGCCCCCAGCAAACAGCCAGTAAAAAACCAGCACCTTCCATCCCACAATGAGAAACTGAATCCTACCAACAATGTGAGCGAGCTTGAGAGCAGGTTCCCAGCAGCTTCCGGGTAAGAACACAGCCTGGAGACACCCCAGTGGGGGGGCCATGAGCAGAGACCCAGCGAGGCTCACCTGGCCAGCCATGAGCTGGTAAACAGAGGGTGGCTGTCTGTGCTAATTTGTTAGGTGGCAACAGAAGCTAACAGTGGCTGAATGAGAATTTGACCCCAGTGCTGTGTAACCCCAGCACCCTTGCTTTTTCTGCTGATCCTTGTTGCCATCCCACTGCTTTCAGGGTTTGGATAGGACTTGGGGTCCCGGAGAGTGGATCAAAACACCAAAACTACGAAATAAGCGTTGTTATGAGACCTAAAGAGATGTCAAAGTGCTCCTCCCTGAAATAATTGACTGAGAACACCCCATACTACTTATTCAGAATTTGTGACAAACTCTTGTTATAATCCCCACTTTACAGATTAAAAAAAAAAACCAAAAAACAAAAACTGAGGCTCATGGAGATGCAACTTAATCAAGATCATACAGCTTGTGAGCCACTCCACACGCCCCTACTCACCCAGTTCTTTGCCCTGTTCCCCATCCCACTCCCCACCCCATCCCGGCTCCTTCTCTTTTCCAGGATGAATGACAGTACAGGTAAGGGAGGTGGCCACTGTCCTGCTTCACTTACCTGGCCTGAGAGGGTCCTTTCTTCGGGGCAAATAGCCATTAGCCCAGTTGGCCCTGGACATTCTAAGCAGGATGCTTTTTCCACCCCGACCCACCATGACCTTGGCCTCTCTTACAGAGGCCTGGGGCTTGCACCTGGAGACCCAGCCCTTCCGGCCGATGCCACCCCCGCCATTGGTGTGAAGCAGCAAAGCAGTGGCATGCAAGGCACATGGCAAAGAAATGGGACACACCAGAGACACAGTGAAGGAGAGCTTGGTTTTGTTTTGAGCTGTGCTGTTTTATTATGCAAGGGAGCCAAGGGAAGTGGGGGGAGGAGCATGAAATGGAGCAGGTATGTTGACGTAAGGACACAGTCACAGGTTTTTAATGAAAGGCAAAGCAGATGGCGCAAAGAGATGCAATTTGTTTTCCATCCAGAAGCTGAGGGAGAAGCCAAATGAGACCTCATGGCCACCTGAACCCAACTCCCAGGGAGCAGGCAGGCGGGGAGAGGGCTGCACTCGGGTCCAGCATGCAGTGGGCACAGCCACCCCCTCCAGTCCCTTCTCACTCACCCTTCCCTCACTGGCCCCAAAAACAAATGAGCCAAGTTGGTCCCATGAGAAAAATCATTTTGCTTACATGAAACCTCTTGGTTTCTTGCAACAGTCTAAAAAGTCCTCGATGACCTGGCCCTGCCCAACTCTCTTACCTCATCTCGTACCACTTCCCCCTTGTCCGCAGGCTCCGTCCCCCTGGTGTTTCCATTCACTCCGAGCCATTTCCCACTGCTGGGCCTTTGCCCATACAGTCCCCTCTGCCTGGACAGGTCTCCTGCCTAGCCCACATTCGTTGGGTGGCCAACTCTTTCCATCATCTGCTTATCTGTCGCCACCTTGGAGAGGCCTCCGTAACCTACACACCCCCTCATCTTGCCAACACAGTGCCATATCTATTTCCTTAATAACACTTTCAACAAGTTTGGCCATATATGTGTTTGTGTTGTTGATTGTAATCATGGCCCCAATTCTTTACCTGCCCCCCCACCTCCATGCCCTCTGCTACGAGACTTTGAAATTTTTCTCACTGAAGAGATGGAGTTGATTTTCCCACCCCTTGATTCGAAGGTGGCTCTGTGTCTCGTTCTGGCCAATCAAATGAGCTGGAAGGGACCATGTGCCAGTTCCTAGCTTACCCCTCAAGAACCTTACATGTTTCCACTCAGTCCCTTGCCATCCCCATAGCCTGCTGCATAGGCTCGGCTATTGAGGGATGGGACATGTGAGGCAGAGCAGCAGCATCCCCCTCATCCCAGCCTAGGCCACCACAGATCAACCCCCAGGCAGGGGAGTGAACTCCACCAAGATCAACAGAGCTGCATAGATGACCCTATACACATAAGCAGTAAACACTTATGATCACATGCCACTCTAGCTTTGTGGTTAGTTGTTATACAGCAATAGCTACCTGATATAGTTGGCTTCATTACTTTTGTCAGTCCCAGTCTATAAGCTCCCTGAGATAGGGACCATCTCTATTTTATTCTCCAATGCCTGGCATATAGTAGGTACTCAGTAAACATGTTGAATGAGTGAGTCTTCTTGCTGTGCAACATGGCTCAGCGACCTGTTTTATCACCTTTGCCTTCTTACACAGGTGTGTGGGGCAAGCCTGCCTTCACAAATTACCTTGTCGCCCTCCCAAGGTTAGAGTTTGAATTGCCCTCTCCTCCACCCCGGCCACAGGGCTGGCCTAGTCTACAGCTACAGAGAAGGGAAGCACTAATGTCTGGGCAATATCCAAGAGTATTATCTTTGGCCTTGGCTCCTTTCAAAAATGATGCAGATATCAACCATCTCCCCTCCCATGAATGAAGACATCAACCCCTTCCTTCTTTATCCAAAACGATGCTCCTCTGAAAGCCATTTCACCTTGACCACTCTGGGGGTGTCCAGTGACGTACATCTCTAGGGAAACCTTGCAACTAGTCCCTTGGCAGGGTCTGCAACTGCTTTAAAAGCAAAGTCTAAACTGGAGAGATGAGGATGGAATGAGGCGCTTCACTAAGCTATCTGAAACAAGTGTGCCTGAAAGAGCTATGCCTGGGAGGGGAGGGGAATGCTGGGAGGTCTTCTCTTTAATTTTCCAAAGCAAATGGTGGAACACAAATCAGCCAGTTTTCTCTGATTCTCACGACAAGAACCCCTTACGGTAAGATAGGCGGTCACATGGCAACTGAGTCAGGAGCCCTGCCTCCACCGCGGCCGATCCTGCGCCTGGGTTGTTGGAGTGAGAGAACTAGCTCAAGTTGCTGTGGTATCGGCAATCCCACCATGAAGGAAGTCAGAGGGATTTGGGATGAACCTGTCTACCCCAGGGCCCCACTGATGGAGAATGGACTCTTCTAGGCTCTGCCCCTGCCTTTGTTGCCTCTCCCAAGGGCATGCCCCCACCACGCCCAGGAACTGTAGATTTATTTAGGAGGCAGCTCTCTTTTGAGTTGGCTCCTACGGTCCAGCTTGCTCATGACCTGGGTGATGTCCACTGTGTTGGCTGCCTCTCGAGCCTTGGCTTCCTCCTCCAGCTGCCTCAGGACTACGGGGCTCGGGCTGGAGCGCAGGTGACGTCGCATAAATGGGAGACTGGAGCTGGAAGGAGGGACAGGATTGGTGGTTAGCAGAAAGCCACAGGTTTGCTCAACAGTGACCCCACACCACCTGTTTTGGAGGCAGGGCTGGAAGGTCAGAATCTGGACTTGTTCCCTCCTTCTCCTGGTGGACGTCAGGTGGGGCTCTCAGAGGTGGGTCCAAACTTAGTTCTTTTCTCTGCCCTTGGATCATGGGACCAGAGTGATTCCCAGCTGCCACCAGATTTTAGGAGTCGGAGCCTTCTACAGAGGTTAGACATGGATTCCCGGGACCAAACTCTCTCGACCATGGTCTTGGAAGCCAGGATAAAGCTCCAGGTGTCTGACTGATACGGGGAATAGTAAGCAGGTAAACAACCCAGGGGCTTTGAAAACAAGCATTTTAGCAGCAACAGTAGACTTAAAACCTAGGGCCTCCCCAAGTTTCTGGACTACGTAATCCACAGAACTCCTTATCTACCCCAGGGAGGAAGAGGGTCCCTAACACTACACCGTGCCTGATAGTGGGTCTCCCACCAGCCCTGTCAATGGAAGGCTTAGAGCTCAATTTAACTCATTCTGGAAAAATTAAGTTTTACACATTTTCTTACACCTGCAAATCATGGAACGAACTCACACTCACCCCAATCCCACACAGTTGCAAGCTGGGCTTCACACATTAGAAAAGCGTCCCCATGTATATTCCCACTCCCAGAAGCAGGGACCACATCGCTCCACTCCAGCACAAAGCCTAGCGCTGCCCCTGGGGCCCAAAGCTGCCGCAGCCCTCGAAGTGCTCCGGGTGCCCGAGAGACGGTCCCAGCTGACCTCTCAGGTCTGCCTCGACTCACACAATGTCTGGAGAGAGCAGTGCGAGCCTCCTCTTCCTTCCCCACTACTTGCAGACAGAACTTGTGGAGCGATTATGGCCCTTTCTTGTGGCTTAAAGGGGAAGCTTTCAAATCCCCAGGGACACTGAACTCCCTTCCTTACCAGGTAAACCTAGAAAAATAGCACCACAAAGACCTCCTTTCTCTCCTTTTCATAACAGTGCCATTATCCTCAAGAAGGAAACCAAGTTGGGGTTTTTTTTAAAGCACCTTTGATAAAGGCTCTGGTCCAACCACCCCGCTTTTAAATTGACTGGAGATACCGGATGAGAGCCCAGCGTGGGCTGAGCCGGCAAATGGAACATTTACTAACGAAGCAGGGACAGGACTCGCGTTGGCGCTGGGAAAACCTCCGCCAAAGTCCCACGTCTTTGTTCAAGCTGTCGTTTGGTTACTCTGTTGAATCCTCAGTCCCCACAGAGTGGTGATTTTCAACCTGTGAGCCGCAAGGATATTTAAACCATGCAACACCTGACTGTTTAGTTAGGAGCACTGACCTCTGATTTCCCTTAGGTTGTCAAATTTTTAAAAATGACAACACCCAACACAGTAATAGCCCACCAGTGTGATTGCTGGGTCTTGAACCATAAGTATATAGGTCATATAATAGAGTTGCATCTTATTGGTCATGTCACATAATAAAGTTGTATCTGATTGGTTAATTGTTGGTAACAGGATTTCTGTTTATATACAAGTGTAGGCTCCTGATTTTTTTCAGACAAGATCGAGCGCATTCCGGGTGGTATGGCCGTAGACAGGCACCTGATTTTTTCAAAAGTCACTTTGGAGCAAAAAGGGTGGGTGATTACTACTATTATATTTTTGTAAATCAATCAAAATTGTACCAATTTTTGTAAGATCGGCAAAAAATACATTTTGTGTGTGCCACAGCATTTTAGTAATGAGTTTATATGTGCCATGAGCTGAAAAAGGTTGAAAATCGCTGCCATAGAAGTTCCCTTCCACCAAAAAGAAAAGAGTCCCAACTGCCCCCTCAGAACATTATTCCATCCTTTGCCCAGGGCCTCTGCCAGGTGAGACCATCTGCATCTCCAATGAGGAAGGTGAGCGTGAAGAAGCTCACTACAGACACTGAGAGGAGTCACCAAGAATTCCTAGGATGTCGCTCTTTGCTTCCCCTTAGCAGTCTATCATTTTTCTTGGGGTGCAACCTGCTATAAGGTCTTGGGACATTGCAAGGGTACACGGATGTGGCTAATTTAATCCCTATATATCAGTTTGGAGGTGGAGAAATGTAGCAATTAAAAAACAGATGCGTTGCAAAAAAAATAAAATAAAATTTTTTTTATTAGGAAGAAAAAAACATTTGTGGTAAGTGTAATTATGAGTCTGATAAGACTCTTTCCAGGCCTGGCTGGTGTGGCTCAGTGGATTGGGTGCCAGCCTGTGAACCAAAGGGTCACCTGTTCAATTCCCAGCCAGGGTACATGCATGGCTTGCAGACCAGGCCCCCAGTAGGGGGTGCATGAGAGGCAACCACACCTTGATGTTTCTCTCCCTCTCTTTCTCCGTCCCTTCCCCTCTCTCTAAAAATAAATAAATAAATAAAACCTAAAAAGGAAAAAGAAAAAAAAAAGACTCTTTCCAACCAGGACAAGGGAAACGAAACTTACTGGCAATAATGAATGAGGAAACCTTGCTAGAGCAACCTCAGGGCATTTCAAAGCCAATGAGGCAATCATACCCTGAGAAATACCTCCCAGTCCCCACTGTTTTCATCAGAAACGTATCTCAACCACAGCCATTGGGGCAGAGAGACCTCAACTTCTCTGAAAACAAAACATCAAGCAGCCAGCAATTACAGACCCTTCCACTTGCCTTCTCTTGGTGGTCTCCTGGGGTTCGATAGCTTTGGCCAGCATTTCCTTATAGATTGGAGATTTCAAATAGCGAGCATAAGAATCCTGGTGGGAGCAAGAGAAAACCCATAATTATGAGAGGGAAAGTGTTGAATGAGATGAACACGTTCGCTATTTTCAAGCCCTCCCTCAGCAATTAGATGAAGGTTGGAAGAATTCGTCTCCTTGTATGAAAGGCATTTCAGTGTGTCTCCAAAGCAATGGATCTCAAGTGTGGTCCCCAGACCAGCAGCACGAGTTTCACCTGGCAATGTGCTAGAAATGCACATTCTCAGACCCGCCCAGACCTACTGAGCCAGAAACTCTGGGGGTGGGACAGTCCAGGTCTGAACAAGCCTCCAGGTGATCCCACTGCTCTTCAGGTTAGATCATCGCAGTCTAGGGCCCCCACCCCAGAATCCATGTTGGGGGTTCTTCCATGGAGCGAGCGTGAAACACGAGGACACCTGTGGCCGTCTGTCACACCCAATACCTTCTTCAAGGACAATGAGCAGCCATGAGCATGGAGCCCACTTAAAGCCTGCCAACTTCCCTTTCGCCCTGAACTGAGATAGAAAAGCAAGAGAAAATCCAACCAAGACCCAGGCTCAGACTCCTCAGAGCGTGGATGTGTCCTGGGACCCCGGACAGGCTCGGAGCAGTCATTCCATGAATGTTTGCTGCTCCCAAGCACACTCGGAACAGCTCTAGTCACAGCACACGGGGGACAAAGCCCGCGGCGGCAACCAGGGATTGGGAATTGTTTTTATTTATGGAAGGAGGACCATTTTAAGGATGGAGAGGTGGCAGTAACCGCTATAAGAACTAGGAGGGAATGTGGGAATAGGGATTAGGGAGCCATCCAGTTGTGCTGAGTTTATTATTGTAGGAAATACCCTGTCGTGACATAGAATCCAATAAGCATACTGGGGTGGGTAGGTTTACAGTTGTTTGTGTGGGAAAGACATGCAGGTTATGAGTATTACAATCTCTCTATTAACTGTGTCTGAGCTCTCACAACCGTAAACCTGCCGTTGTCCACCCCTGTATACGTCATTATTCAGTTAACGATGATTCCGTTTTATTCCGGCTAGCAGCTGACTCCCACAGCTGTCTCCCTAAAAGGCTGTATGAAAACCACATTTTTAAGAATCAAAATGTATTTTCAAATACATTTAGGAAGACCGTTAGTAAAAAAATTCTGCTGTAAATCTTCTTGTAAGGTAAACAACAGAAAAGCCCACAGCTGAGAAATAAATGGCAAAAAATGGCTAATCTGGCTTATTGAAAATTTTTTATAATTACATATTTTCAAAGCAAAGTAAAACTATTCCTTTACAATGTAGTAAGCTTAAAAGACTAAACCAAAGAACTATAATAAGGGAAATTAATAAAAAATGCCATCCACTCAAACCTACACCATGTAACAAAGTTTCTAGAGATACTTTGCCCTCAAAGGAATAACTGTTGTGTGAGAAGCTGAAGCTGCTGAAGAACACCTCGTCGGACATGGCACCAAGTAGCAACCACGCTAGACAACTTCTCCAAGGCCAAGTCTGAGCCCCAAATTCTAATTTTTTAAAAAGGTGATCGAAATAACATTGTGATCGCTATGTATGGTGCCAGGTGGGTACTGGAAATATTGGGGGGGACACTTTGTAAAGTATATGATTGTCTAACCACAATGCTGTTCACCTGAAACTAATTCAAAATACTATTGAATATAAACTGTAATTGAAAAATAAAATTTAAAAAATAACAATTATTAGAAATTAAAAAAATAAAACAGTAGTAGATACGATGTAACTTTTGTATCAAAGAAAGTAAAAAAATTTAAGCGATTAATTTTCTCTCAGGTTCCCTTTTAAAACAATGTTCCGAAAATTCCCACCATGTTCATTTTTTATTAATAATAATCCTGGAGGCTGCCTGAATTCTCACAGAGTGGTGCCATAATCACACACACTAACCTCTCGAATGTGTCACATTTCCCTGGGGCCGGAGCCACCAGAGCTGCCGCCATTCTACAGTGGAGATTAAGGGCTTTGGACTCAGGCAGACACCGCAGGGGAGACCCTGAGCGAACCACTGGACTCCGGAGAAGCAAGGCCCACCTTGAGGATTGTCTTTGATACAAAGTCTGTTCTTTGCCCAGCGACTGCACCTTGCAAGCCCTCAGTAAATAATGGTTCTTAGAGCAGAACTATCATTACCAATGTCATTACTGCCTGTGATGCTACAGCAGAGTGAGCGGCCCACAGGAGTGCACAGCACCCACAGGCAGGCATCCCCAGACAGCGAGCTTGGGGGCTCAACGAGGTTCCCGCCCAGGGGACAGGTGGGAGAGAGCTGACCATTTTTGCATGCCTACACCGGCAAAGCAATAGCCACGTCATCTCCCATGTTCCCCAATCTGAGGAATTTCCCAGGTCCCCCTGGAGGGAAGGGCTCCCTGGTCCCTGAGTGTCATCAGCAAGGACCCCCCCGCCACACACACCTACCTTCTTCATGAGCATGTAAATGTGGGTTTGCGCAGCGTCCAGCACGTAGCGGTGGGGGTGCCTCAGCCCCTTGACCGTGATGTCCATGGTTTTACCATCTATGTTGATCCACCGCCTCGCCCCTGGGGCCAGGAATAGCCTGGGGCAGGGAGGGAAATGTTAGCAGAAGAAGCTAAACCAAGTCGGTTAATAAAAAGAGCGCAGCTGCTTGAGAGGGAGGGATTGGCCTGACTCAGGCCGCCCTGTTGAAAGGGGTCCCTTTTTAGGAGACAATAAGAGTTTCAACAGGTTGTCAAGGGACATTTCTTAAAGGCAAGAAAACAGTCACGCCAGTATTGGGAACGTGCGTGCTTCACTTTGGTGTTCTCAATGTCTAGGAGACAGCAAAAACAGATCGGGGGACCCAGCCTCCGACGTAACGCCTCTGCCTTGTTCCTCACCGGGATTCGTGCTGAGCACCCTCCACCCCGGAGCTCCAGGGCCTCTGCTTTCCCTTGGCCCGAGCTAGATGTGTTGGGGATGGGCCTCCAGGCTGAGCTGGGAGGCAGCCCAGCACGCCAGTGCCCAGGGGTCTGATGACCTGGGCATCCTTGTCAATGGTCCCAGTGGGAACCCAGCTCGCCACACTGCCTGCACCCTGTGGCTCAGCCTGGGATTTCGGGAGCTCTCCGCATTTCCCACTGTGACCCGTTGAGGGTAAGAAATACTCACATGGGTATTGTGCCACACTCATAAGCTGCACAAGAAAATTTCAGAACTCGGGCTGAGACTACCTAAGTGGGGGGCCTGGGGAGGAAGGAAGCCGATAGAAAGGTGGAGGCAGCAGGCTTCCTTGCAGCAGACTTGGAATTAGGAGCTGGGTGCGGGCCGCTGTATGCGAGGCAGTCAAGCACCGCTGTCCCGGGGAAGGGTGTCATAGGACCTTCCTGGACGCACAACCGCCCCACACCCCCATTTCTCTCGGTGTGCAGACCTTCCCCCTGTGGGAGGAGGTGGGCGAACGTTTGAGAAAGTAGAGGAGCCTCTAAGTCTGAGACCTCAGGTTCCCTCTTCAATGGCGTTAGTGCCTCTCTGAACACTGGGATGGACGATTCTGAGTCCCTTTGAAAGAAGGACACCGGAGGCCCAAGGTGTAAGTGCTGAGAGGCGAGAGCCAGCTGGCCTGCCGCCCAGTGGCTACAGACGGCTGGTTGCCGCCCACATGGTGGCTGGGCTTTGGAAACCTCGGCTGAGGGTGTATGAACTGAACGCACTGGGCCTGCAGAACCCAAGACTGGCTCCCACTACAGCCAGTGCAGGGAGGACCAGCAGGGATGCGGCCACAGCAAGACACAAGCACCCTCCTGGACAGGGGAGGAGGCAGGGCGCAGACGTCAGTGGGGGCCGGGCACGGGGCTCCCCTTCCCTCTCCACCGGCTGTCAGAAGCAGGACTTGCCCTTCTCAACGGATGCCCTAGGCTCTTGCGTAATTGGGAGGGACATTGGCAGGAGAGCCAGGTCTGGAGGGGGACAGACTTATCGCTCCACTGAGCAAGTAAAGGCTAGAGCCAGTAACTGCAAAATAAGAGCAGTGCCCACATTTGTACCCCAAGCTCGGCCCACAGTTCGAGACACCTGGGGGAACCTCCGTTCCCCTCATGGGCCTCACTTCCCTAAGACGGCCGAGGACACTCACCTATTGTCTGTCTCTCTCTCTCTGTGACTCTCCCCCTTTCTCAAACACAACATACACACACACATCCACCTCTCAGGAGACCTAAGGGGGTTTAGTCAAAGACAAAGCATTGTAATTCAGGGCAGCTAGCTTTTTTAACTCCTGAGCACATTCCCCTGGGATCAGGGGATCCTTCCTTCCACAGCAGCAGCAGCAGTGAACTATTTATAGCGTGGCAGGTGTCGGGCGGGTAGGGGGCGGCTCTCCAGCAATGTGGCTAAGCCTCACTTGTAAATCTCCTCCGCTTTCTCCTTGACCTTGGACTGATCTCCATACTTCAGATCCTCACAGGCTTCCCAGAATCCCAGATTCTCCCCTGCACAGGGTGGAGGGGGTCCACGCAGATGAAAGCCAGCCAGGAAACAAGTAGGGAGAAGAAAAAAGAAATGGTTCAGAAATGAGATAGACACAGTTCCCTCGAGTGGTGAATGCCTTCCTTCTACAAAACAAGCCATGGCACACTGGGGGGCGGGACAAAGCAGTAAGGAGCCACACTTACTCCCTGGGCCCGGGAGGGCGTTGTTCGCCTAGGGCCTGCTGTACAGTGTTCTGTGAGACGAACCATTGGCACAGCCACGGTTGCGGCTATACGCGTCTGCTGTGATCACTGCTCTTTCCCCGCGGACACACATCAACCCCCAGAGGCTGCCGTGTTCTTCCTTGTCCCAGCGGTTAGCTGTAGCAAGTGTGCTTGAACAAGTTCGCCTGTGATTGGGCTTGTCAACGTGCATTGCTATGTGGTAGATTTTTTTCATGAAGGGCCCCCTTTACTTTGCTCATGTTCGGTGACTGCATGTGAGCTCTGCCTCCTTTGTGCGCAGAGACTCCGTCCTTTAGAGCACTTCGCAAGGTCCTAAGAGAGAGGCTGCTCGAGCAGCAATGCTGAGAGACTGGCGCTCAGGTCAGGGAAAGCCTGGCCACTAGGGGGACTTAACGGAGCATCACTCACCTGAGCCAGAGGTGGGTGCATATGTATGCATGAGTGTCTGTGTGCATGCATGTGCCCTGTGTGGCATGCATGTGTGCGTGGGCATGCCTTGTGTGTGCATGTGTGTGTGAATCACGGAATGCCTCTGTGTGGGGAAGTGGACAAGAGAAGACCCTACAGCTCCTCTCACAGCATTTTTTAGAAAGCCCCCAGGCATTTCAGATCGAAAAAGGGGACACAGTTCTCGGCCAGTTGACGTCGTCCCAGAACTCTATAGAGGTCCATCCTCCTCAGCCCAAACTTCAGGTGGTTCTCGAGATCGCAGGCATGAGCAAACAGGGGCGTGCAACATGGACCATCTTGCCTATGGCAAAAGGTGGTTCACTGCTTAAGGTTTAAATCAAGTGAGCAATCATTCACACTAGCCAAAGTGGAAACAAACCAAATGTCCATCCATGGAAGAGAGGATAAACAAAATGTGGTATACATATGTACAATGGAATATTATCCAGCCTTAAAAAAAGAACAAAATTCTGGCACAAGGTACCACTTGGAGGGATTATGCTAAATGAAATACGCCAAACACAAATGCACAAGTATCGTATGATTCCACTTGTATGAGGCACCTAGAAATATGAATTCATAGACACAGAAGGTCAAGTGGTGGTTGCCAGGAGCTGGAGGGAGGGGTGAATGAGGAGTTAGTGTTTAATGGGTTCCAGGTGGGGATGATGAAAAAGTTCTGGAGGCAGATGCCAGGGATGGTTGCCCAACAATGTGAATGTACTTGGTGCCACAGAACCATACACTGAAAATGGTTAAAATGGTACATTGTGTGTTATGAATACTTTACCGTGACAAAAAATTAAATGAGCAGGAAAAATGTGTACATGAATGTTTACAGCAGCATTATTCACAATAGCCCAAAAGTGGAAACAACCCAAATGTCCACCAATCGCTGAGTGGATAAACACAATGCGATCTATCCACACTGTGAAATATTATTCATTATTCATGAATAACATTGGAGTGAATAAAGGAATGAAGCATTGCTATATGCTACAACATGGATGAACCTTGAAAACACTGTGCTAAGTAAAGAAGACAAAAGAACACACATTTCATGATTCCATTTATATGGAGTGTCCAAAATAGGCAAATCTATGAAAATAAAAGGTAGATTAGTAGTTGCCTAGGGCTGGGGGTAGGGAGGAAGTGGGGAACAGAGGAAGAGAGGAGAATAGGAACTGATTTCTAATGGGCAAAGGGTTTTTCTTTGAGGGGGTGAAAGTGATCTGGAATTATATAGTGGTAATGGTTGCACTACTTTGTGAATAAACTAAAACACTGAACTGCATATTTTAAAAAGGTATATGGATTATGACATGTGAATTGTATGGTATGTGAATTTATGATATATGAATTTTATCTCAATTTTTAAATGTTTTTAATTAAATGAGAAAACTGATGATTCACCTGTCCTGCTCATACCTGAAACCTCAGAAATGTCATAAAGTGATCACCGAGTGTACTATTTCAATAATGCGGGGGGAAAACCTTTTCCACAGATTTTGTTACTAAGTAATTCCTGGGTAGGATAAACTCAGGGTGTGGTTTGTGACTTTGCCACTAGATGGCACCCTATCCACTCATTCGCGAGTTTCTTCTGTCCAGTGCAGAAAGCACTCCCCTTCTATACCCATCTATAACTGGGTTTTATTATATCATGGCAATTTGCCGTGCTTAGAGAGAAATGTTTTCAAAAATCCATATTATATTGCAATGTGTTGCCTCAGGAGGTCACATGAACTAATGGCATGTCCCAGGGGTTAGTTTCAGGAACAACCCCACGCAGGCAAGTGAGTCTCAGGGAATAAGCAGCTGAGTGTTGAGGCTCAAATGGGATACTCCCCAGAGTGGGGGATTTGGTAAGGAAGCGAATGAACCCCATGAAGTAAATGGTTCAATACAAATGTGGAAGCCAATGGAACACTCAGCCTAATGAAATGGGTCCTGGTCGGACCTTTGGTTTTCCCAGATGTTTCTCAGTGCTGTGTATTTGAGAAGTTGCAAGTGCCTACCATGCAAGACCCCTACCAGAGACAGGGTCTGTCTAAAGCGTGGCCCCACCCATTGCATCAAAAAAAAAAAATCTCACCCTCCTAAGACCCGGATGGAAGCAGACCAGCCGCGCTGTTCTCAATTACTGCCAAGCATTAGAATCACCTGAGGAGCTTTCAAACCTTGAGAAAGTCCACCCCAAATGCAATAAAAAGGAACCTCTGGGGATGGAACCGAGACGAGCATGTTTTAAAATATCCCCAGGTGAGTCGAATGTGCAGCCAGGGTAGAGAAGCACGGAGCTGAGGAACGTCGGGCTGTGAAACAAAAGAGGGAAGCCTGCGTTCCGGCCCCCTTCTTGTCCGGTTTTCCTGAGGTGCTGGGCTCGGGGGCAGTGACCCCAGGATCAGGGTGAGGAAGTGGGGGCCCTGGAGGGGTTGGGGGGCTTAGAAACGTGAGTGACATTAATGTGAGTGAATGAGACTTTCCCCTCAACTGTGAGGCCCTTCGGGAACCTTAGAAGTAAAATCTTTTTTCTCAAAGTAAAACTTAAAAAAAAAAAAAAGAAAGAAAAGACCCACCACTGAATTCTTTCTTGAGGAAGTACTGGAAGCTTTGTCGACCCTTGGGGTCGCGGATCAACTCACTGAAGTTGATGGCCCACCGTTCCACTCGCATCTTGGTTGGGATTTCCACCCTGCGGGGACAATTTATAAATGCACCGCACACCCAGTGGAAGGAGGGTCTGAGCTGGGTGGTGGCCTGGACAGGCTGAGGGGCTTTCGCTCCCCACTAACCTCCCCGAGGCCCATGGCCCTGGGCTCCCCCCAATTCTCCCCCACCCCATTTCTGCACAAATGTACAAGGCAAGCAATCACTTGTTAGGAAAATGCATCCTCGGACAAGTCCCCTGGGCCTCATATTAGGAGCTGGCCACCCCAAGGTGAGAAGGACCTGTTTGTGGTACAGCTCTATGAATATAGAAAAAAAAACCCACACATTGAATTGTACACTTTAAGGGTATGTGTGAATTGTTTGGCATGGGAATAACTCAAAAAGCTCTGTTTAAAAACCCAATATATCAAATACATACAACTTGGCATTTAAATCCCAGAACTGGGTGTCGTCTGTGATCCAAGGATTGCTAGGGAGGCAGCCTGACATGAGGGCGTCATTGGACGAGAACTGCTCACTGTATTTGACGATCCTGAAAAGCAAATGGAAAACGGTTTCCTAGATGTTCAGCCCCCAAGAGTCTACATCGGTGCTCAGGTTGATTGACCAGCGTGCCCTCCTCCTCCTACCTACTTATTACTGTCTTCTTAGGAAAATGCTCGAATAGCACTCAGATTGGCAGGTACGGGACAAAAAATCTGTCCTCATTGTACTTGTAAAATGAAACATCTCCCAACCCAGTCCCTTTTTTTATTTCTCTGTACCTATTTCATCAAAAATACAGTCTCTTGACATTGTATCATGACCCTAAACATTTCTGTGCCTCTCAAATACTGTGCTTGGGGGACTGGGTCAAGGGAGCCTGAATGTTCAATAAACCAAAACTGTATTGCCAATTGATCCTGATTGGATTTTAAATCAAAGACTAATCATGGACATTTAAATAGTACATTGAATCAGTAACATAACCCACAATCCCTAATTAATTGAACGGGCGGGGTTGGGAACACAGGCTATCGGGGTCTCTGTAGGGTCCAGTCCACAAACTCCCCCCACCTCACCACCCCCGCAGCAGTGGATTCCAAGACAGAAGACAGGCTTGTACAGAACCTCACCTACCCTGATTTTGCCTAACCCATGATGAGACCCGGAGACTTGTGCGGAGTGAACAACTAGTAACTTAACCCCCAAGAGACCTCTCTGACCCTCAGAGTTCATGAGGATCTTAAGCTGGCCTTAAAGCAAAAGCTCTCGTCTTGCCTATCTGCTGTTCAGACCTCAGCAAGACCAGCAAGTTAGGAACATACCCTCCAAGGGACACCGAAGACTTCACCGTGGACCTCAGTAAGGCCTGCTGGTAATACATGATCTGGAAGAGACACAGTCATTAAAAGATGCCCAATGTCCCCACCCTTGAGGGTCACTAACACTGATAGTTCCCTGTGACCTCCAGAACTAGAAGCCATCCATCCACCACCGCACACCATTCCATTCCCTCAAGCCAGACACCTCAGTATGCACAGGGTTCAGGCCCACAGTAGATGGGTGACCCCAAACTTCAAATCAGGTGCCTCCTTAACCTGTCATGTGTTGGTCTGGGAAAAGGTACCAACTGGGGAAGAAAAAAAAAAAGTCCTAAAGAGAACTAAACCAAGACACGGGGACTGACGGTTAGCCAAGCCGATCCAACCTCAACGGCCAACGATCACCAGGGCTCTGTCTTGGGCCCTGGCGACAAGAGCTGCCAAATAGCAATCTGCCACCTTGGGCAGACTCTGAACAGCCCTGTCACTGTAGGAACAGGGGCCTGGCTGGGGGCGCAGACACCACAGCCCTTACTCCCTTGTCCCACAGATCTGTACCTTCTGAGGCTGTCACAGCCGGAGTCTCAGCACCAGCCCCATTCGAATGTTACAAAAGAAGCTTTGTCAGTCTCTGCTGTTCATCAATTTGTAAACAATCATTTGAACTTTACACACAGCTTTCATTTCATTACTGAGTGCAGAGCATAAAGCCAAAGTACATATAATTTGTTAGAGGATTTAAAATCGAACTTCCCTAGAACTGGAAGATTAATTACCTCTTTTTTGACAGCAGTGATTGTTTGTTTCTGTAAAACAAAGAAGCCAGTACCATTAAACAGATGTCATTAAATCATTACAGTTCAAAGACTCATTTGAAAAATAAAAATGCATCCCCCATGAGAAAACTACCCATCTTTTCTTACTTAAAAAGACAGAATTTCTCCCATCACTACCACCTCCACTCTCTTCCCCACAACTTTTGGAGAATCAGATGAACTAAGAGCTCTGGTGAAGGGAGGCCTAGGGTTCACCTCCTTAACTTTACCCTGCTTTCCCAAAAACCAAGGTGGATTAAAGGCCAAGTTTGGGACTGGTCCCCGTCTACCGCTATGCCTACAGAACCAGCTGCAATGGAATGAGAGGTGACGATGGGGATGCAGTGTGGAGCTTGAGTGTTTCTTGTCTCACAGGAGAGAGAGCTGAGGGAGTGGTGAGACTCATTCCACAGGCATTCATAACAACTTGACCAACACCACACATGGGGCAAAAAAGTCACACTGCCAAAGATAAAGCATGCGATGAAAAGACTCCAGACCAGTATCTACTGAATGCCAAGTCCCACAGTTGAACTGTAACATGGAAGATCAAATCAGGCCCCACACTCCCACGGCTGAAGCGAGTTCATGTGGGGATACCTCACAGGGCGGCCCCTATCTGGACTTTTCAGTAATGGCAGAGAAGGAATGTCTCCAAAAGGGACCCCACATTTGGGTTCTTAGAAGCTCCTGGACACCGTTCAGACCTGTGTCCTCCTAACATCTTCTACATTCTGACATGCTCTCTTGGTGTCACTTTTCTGCTCCATGCAACTCTGGAGGTTGGGTACAGTTGGTGATTCCAGTCTCAGTGTTCCTAGGTTTAGTTGTGTCCAGAGACTGCTTGGCGCTGACTCTTATACGTCAAGTTGATCGTCTTAATTCCTGGTCACTAACATCCATGCTGCTAAACACAACCAGGTCTTCACTTAGAATAGAGTCAGAAGGCCAAGGAGGACACTATTTTCCTTAGCCAGCTAGCAAAATCACTACTGGCCCATAGCCCAGGAACAAGGGCTTATGGGTCAGGAGGGTCCGATCTAGAACACCACATACTCGTCTCTCTAATCCATGCAGGCTTTTATTTTGCTTCACTAAATTGCTTTTGTCATTGCTTTTCCACAGGAAATCCTTTTCCTGGGTCGGAACTGAGGAGAATTCTCTCAGAAACATAAAGCTCAGGTATGTCTCTTATGTTGGACTCACACATACCCTGACTTCCTCTTCATAGCATTTATCACCATTGTAATTATATCCCTCTCTGTGTGACTCTTTGTTTAATATACAAATCACCAAGTAGGCACCGTTAAGAGCAGGGCAATCGTGTTTATCTTCCCCAACATAATATTTGGTGCAGAGTAGATTGCAATAAATATTGAATAGATGAGGAATGCTCTGTGCTCAGAAGCCTAAAAAAAAAAAAAATGTAGTTGTGTTCTAAGCTTAGTAGAATATTTTTCCACTTAAAAAGTTGAAGGCACTACCCAAATGATTCAAATATTTTGGCAACCACACTGATTATTTGTTCCCATTCTGTCTCAACATAAGGCACTGTTTTAGAAGACACATATTTCAGGTAGAAAAGGACCCTGAGGCTACAGCAGATTTGCATGCAAAGCTCATATAATCAGATTCTCCTGTTCCAGTTGGCTTAAACGGATTAAAAATAGTGTCTACTGGTCTGTGCCCTCTGCTAGAAGGGGAAGCTGGATTGTTGCAAAACAATAACCACTTAGCAATTAATGCAAAGCAATTTATGCCCCTTGGAGCCCTTACAAAGTGTCAGCCAGGGAGATTTTATTATTCTGATTTCCAGCTCTGAAGCTGTAGTAGGTTATAGGCAACTTTTTCAACATCTCCCAGTCAGTGACGGACTGAGCCAAGATGCAAACCGAGGTCTGCCCTTTGCGAAGCGGAGGAGGGCTCCATGAGAAACAAAACGGCCTGCTCTTGTCTCCGGTGCCCTCTTTGCCCTGAAGCTGAGAGCAGGGCAAAATAGAATGACTCTGTCCAGCCGTTTCAAGTGAAATTAAAATGAAAAGAGAGCCAGACTCCCAATCCCAAGACACAACACAAACTCTTTAATTAACGTTAGTGATGATAAAACTCCTAGCTTTAAGATAAATTAGATCTGGGGATCTAATGCCCAGCATGGTGACTATAATTAGCCATACCGCATTATCAGCTTGCAAGTGGTTAAGAGTAGATCTTGAAGGTTATCAACACACACACACACAAAATTGTAATTATGCGAGGGGTCAGGGGTGTTAACTAACCTTATTGTGGGAATCACTTTGCACTATATACATGTATCTAATCATCACATCGTCCGCCTTAAACTGACATACGTTTCATGTCAATACTGTCTCAATCAAGCTGGGGGGGCTGGGGAGACCACTCACGGAGACGAAGACGGCAAGTGCCCCAGGACTGTGCTCGGCTGCCCCCGTTCTAAACACTCCCCTTCAAAGCGCCTGGGGCCCAAGGCCAAACTTCGGTCCTGTGGCCACGGGGCTCCTGAGCGGCGTGTGCAGACGCCAAGAGCCAGCTTCTCAGTCTGCCCTGCTGTTCTCCGGCTCCATGGGGGCTCTCCCTGCACGTCATGCCTGGTCTACCTAGCGCGGCCTGACTTCGGCCTAAAATGTTTGTTTCCAGGGCCATTATCTCAGTCTTCAGGGTTTAAAATTTGTCATATTTTAATGCACTTCACTGGCTTTTATTACCCTTTTCGGGCCCTGCATGGGCGGTGTGGTTTGCTGCTGGATTTGGGGTTCCCAGAATTACCAGCTATCTTCTGGGAATCAGACGGCAGTGAGCGCTCTAATAACAGGATTCAGCTGAATCTGAGGTTTCCCCACCTCCACCTTGGAGTGTCCACGTGGATTTTAGCATTTATTTCTAGCTTTAAAAATAGCTGTCCGTGGGATCAGCTTCCTATAGGTTGACACATAGGGCACTGGCCGTCTAAGGGAGTGTGTACCGGGGCAGTGGGCGCAAGGGTTCTGGACTCCTTTCAAAGACCAAGAGAAAAGTTGATGAGAAGGTGGGATGGAAGAGTGTGGGTTTGGGGATCAGACCAAGGTCAAAATCCTGGCGCTATCGCTTATTGGCTACATGACTTTGGATGAGTTTTTGTGTTTTTTTGTTTTTTGGGTTTTGTTTTTTTTTAGCATTTCAGGCCTCTATTTTCTCATTTGTAAAAGGGGATAGAAAAACAAGGGATTAAATTAGACAACAGACAGGTGATTGGCATAAAGCAGAGTCTCAACAGACAGCGGCCAGTGACTCAGGGCTCATGTGCTACTGCTAAGCATGTGCACGGTAGGGTTGTGGCCCTACTTCCAAGATAAAATACAGACGCCTGTGCCATATTTGGGACACACTTACACTAAAAAATCTAGTTGTTGTTTATCTGATATTCAAATGTAACTGGGCACCCTGTCTTTTTTATTTGCCAAATATCATAAACCTATCAAAATTATTACTTAGCCAAAGGTCATAAGAAACATGAATTTAAAATAAATTGAAGGTATTTAAGCAACTCAAAGAAAACCACCTCACGATAAAATAAGAAATAAACATTTCTTTTCACTCTGTCACTCATGCACGAATCCCCTGCTCTCTCACAGCTGGCCCTCCTGGAACGGTCACTTCTTTATTCCTCATCTGAGTGACTCTTCGTACAGTAAGGCCCTCAGTCTAAGGAATCTTCAGATGCTCTGCATTCTTGGAATTCTAAGTTATTTTTCACTTGCAGGTCTGCCCAAATAGGGACACATCTAGAACTTGTTTACAGAGCTCTGTGGCCCACTTGCTGGCCTTGAAAGCCGGATGCAGGCTGCAGACAATAATCACAGGGCGGGAAGGGTCAGGGGCATGACCTCGAGTCCCTGCAGACAGGAGAACGGAGCCCAGAACTGAGGGAATCAAGGACCCAGGGAGCAGGCAGCCAGCAGGAGGCTGCAGAGACAAGAGGTAAGGGATGGGCAAGCCACTGAGCAAAACACAAGATGGGGAGAATCCTGGGGAATCGGGGTCCCAAGCATTGGGAGTGGAGAGAGAATCAAAAGTCAGAAACCAGGAAATTCAGGTGCCCTGGCCCAATAGCTCAGTTGGTGAGAGCATCATCCCATATGCCAAGGTTGTAGGTTCCATCCCCGGTCAGGGCACACACAAGAAACAACCAATGAATGCATATATAAGTGAAACAACAAATCAATGTCTCTCTCTCCCTCTCTCTAAAAAAAAAAAAAATCAATAAATAAAAATTAACAACAACAGCAAAAAGAAGCCAGGAAATTCAGAACTGACATGGGTAACACAATGCAGGAGAGATGAGATGGGAGGCAGGCAGCAAGGGGTGCGAGGAGGCAAGAGTTCAAGGTTGTGATCCTCTGAAGTCCCTGGCCTGCCACGTACTTCCTGATCAGGCTGAGGCAGGGGAGACTACACAATTTGCAGGGTATGCTGCGAAATAAAAATGCAGGGCCTCTTGTTCAAAAAAAAAAAAAGTATTAAGAATTTTAAGATAGGGACAGCTGAACATTAAACCCAGTGTGGGGCCCCACTCAGTGTGGAGCTGTGGACCAGAGGACAAGTCCCCCCACGTGAGGCGGGCCCTGAATGCAACACCCAAGGGTGTGGCTGGAGAGGGAGGGCTAACGGTGGCATCAGGGAACAGCAAGAGCTATAGAACTGGGAAGGCCTAAGTTCAAATCCTGACTGAGCCAGCTTGGGCAAACTGCTCAACTTCTCCGTTTCTGTTTTGTCATGCAAAAAATGGAACAGACATGTCCTCTCTTACCAAGCTGCTGTGAGAATTTCATGAAATCCAGTAAACCTCCTAGAAGCCATGTGATGGAGAGTAGAACACATCAGGCAAGATATGGACTGGGCTTGGGTGCCCATGCGCTGAGGTTCAAATCCCAGCTTCCCCATTTCTAAGCCATGTGTCTTGGCTGAGTTGCTTACGCTCTCTCTGTTTCCTCAACAATGAAGTAGGCATGCAAATAAAACCCGGGACCTTGTAGGTAGCTGTGAGTCTTCACCGAGCTGTGACTGGATGTGGGCACTTGGCCCCATGCCCCTGGCAGGCAAGGAGCTGTCAGCAAATGTCAGCCCTAAGGGCTGTCCCTTCCTCAGCACCAGTCACACAGCAGCCACAGGAAGAAAGCTGTTCACACCCCGTGGGTGGGAGTGCATGGCGGGTTGTCACTCGCTGGGGACTCCAGGCTGAGGGTTCTGCAGATCACAGTATTAACACTGTGGAGTCAGATTTCTACCTTTTGCCCAAACACCAGCGTGCACGTCTTTGTGAACTGCCGTTCCCCGGCAGCTGTTTGTCAGACAAAGGAAGGAGGTTGAAATTTTTGTGTCCCTTCACCCCTCTGCCTCCAACTAGGGCAGAAGTATGAGAAGGTACAAGGACAGAGGAGGAGACAGCCCCCCAAAACAGGGTCTAAGGTCTACAGGGCTGCATCGGTTGTCCCTCTCGCAGCACGGTGATAGTTATAGCAACAACAGGAGCCGATGTTTGTGGGGTGTCTCTGCGTGTTGGATGCCATTCTAGACACTTCACATAAATGTCTCACTTACACCCCCGGCAGAAGGAGCTATTGTTCTCCCCATTTTATAGAGGAGGAAACAGGCTTTGAAGAGCAGGAGAATGTGTGCAAGATCACATAAGCAGAGTGGCAGAGCAGAGTGGGGCTCATTCCCGACGTCAAAGCTGCCTTCAGCACACTGCGCTGGCCCTCGCCACTAGGCAGCCACGGTACCCCGCCCGGGGCCGGAGAGGGAGGGCCAGCCTGGGCCACGCCCCCGCCGGCTGCCACTCAGGCTCTCAGCGCAGGGCCAAAATCTCGCTAAAATAAGGGAAACGGGGCTGTGCGTGCTTGGCGCCCCAAGAAGCCTTAAGGGATCAGGACTGAGAGAGGGCACGCTCCCTGGCGGTGGCCCTGGCCCCTGGCCAGCTCCCCGCCAGGCTGGCAGCCCCGCGGACCGGCGGCCGTCAGCCTGAAGGGGCGGGTCCCCGGGGACCCCTAGGCACCTGCCAGCCCAGCAGCCTCCTCCCTTACACTTGATGGTATTTATCTCTTGTGGGTTTTTTGCCTCCATTTAAGGAAAGCAAATGTGTTTTCAAAAGTTTACTAATTCTCAGCAATGGTCTCTCTCTCTTCAAACCAGCACTACGAGTTCTTCTCTGAAAGCAAACAAAAATCCGAAACCTCTGCTCACCCAGGGCCTCACAGAGACACTTCACAGTCCCGCCACTCCCTCCTCTCAGGGCAGATAAACCCGGAAAAACAGGGGACACTGAGTCAGACTGGGGAAATGTCGCAAACAGGCAAAACCCAGCAGCAGCCCCTGTCTCCCTAACGGCTGGATGGGACACTCTCTGGGGCTGGCTGAGGGGACAGAGGGGAAGGTCCTGCCTGCATGAGAATTACGGTTCTTAGTTCTTCTTAATACCGCAGGGCAGCCAGAGTGCAGACGGGAGACGGGGAGCTGGTGGGAGGGAGAGAGAGACAGAGAAGACGACGGTAAGCAAAGGAAAAAGCAGGGCCGGGTCAAACATCTGCACGGTGGACACAGCCCCCCGCCCTGCACACTCTGGCTCCGGGCTGACAGAATTGCCAGCATCGGCCAGAAACAGGTTTTAAAAGCCAGAAGGCACCCCCTCCTCGGCGCCGCTGGTGCTGAGCTTTCCACCCCTGCCCTCCCCTCCCCCACATCGCAGAGGCTTCCAGAGCTGCCAGTTACCCATTTAAAAAAAAAAAAAAAAAAAAAAAAAAAAAAAGCCTTCCAGCCAGGTTCAGTGTTTGCCTTGATGACTGTTTCTATGGCAACCAAGCGACAAAGCCTCAGCAATTATCTGTCATCTGACGGGGGCGGGAGGGGAGTGAGGCGGGGGAGACCAGGGAAAGGCCACTGAAGGCTGACAGTACCATACAGGTATCAAAGGAAGGATCACTTGGAGTTGTGGGCAAGGGACTTAGCAATGCTCACACCCCTGGGTGACATCCTCTGGGGACACAAAGTCTCTCTTCAGATGGACTCCATCCCTAAACCTGGCACCTGTCTCATGCACTGGTGGAGGTCCCCGCAGCCATTTCGAGGTTTGGGTCCCAGAGGGCAAAAGTGTACGTGTCACAGAGCTGCCTCAGGGCTACCTTTTCCCCCCTTCTTCCTCTTTCCCCATTGACTCCCTTCTCCCTCCTTTCCTGATGCATCCCTCTGGGCTCCCACTCAGGCCTTAAGGCATTGCCAAAGCTTACAGAGGACACGCTAGGCTAGAGGTCACTGACCCCTTGTTGCCCAAAGTCAACATCAGGCAGAAATCAATGAAACCGTCTAAGACTAGTTGTAATGGGATTTAGGCTGATTTACTGGGATCAGTGGTTCTCAACCAGGGCAATTTTGTGCCCCAAGGGTACATGGGACACATCTGGAGACTTTTTTGATTGTCAGGACGGGGAGGTGGGCAGGGAAAGGCACGATGTTCCTGGCATCGAGTGGGTAGCCACCAAGGTGCTGCTAGGCGTCCTCCGAAGAGCCGGAGAGCCCCAGACAGCAGTGCCCGGGCTGGGAAACCCTAACCTGAATGCTCACTGTTTCAACAGCTTATGAACTGCATTGATTTAAATAAGAAACCATCATAGGAAACTGGCCTTCCACCACAAGCAGTGGGAAAGGGTCCTTTTAAACAAAAGCCTAAGGGGATCTTTGCAAATATCCCACCTTATTGACATGCAAAAGAAAGTGTGACATTCCAGGTCCTGTCTTGTGGATGAAGGTTTATCCCAAAGCTGACTCGAGGGGGCCCAGAGGCTTCAGGGAGCCAGGGAACTGGCCGGAATTGTATGCAAAATGTCTGTGAGACTTTCGGCAGAAGGCTGTCATAATTTCATCAAGTGTTCAAAGAGGGAAAGTGACTCAGAAAAGTCTGAAACCACCCACCTAGATTCTATCTGCTTTGACCTGCACCCTAGATCTCTTATCTTTCTTTAGGCAGGGCCCTTGCTGTGGCCTCCCCAACACCGACACCGCAGAGCCCATATCCTCCTCTCTTGAGCAATCGCAAAGGGCAGGTATTTTGCCTAACAGACACAGCTAGACAAAAGACAGATGGACACCTTCCCAATGTAAAATGTGACCTAGGCCCTGCCCAAAGGATGCAGCTGAGACGTACCTGGTTTACCTGAACTTCATTTGGATTGGTCACTCGGTCCAGGCCATAGTCCAGCACATTGTTCATTCCTGGCTGAATGGAATGAAAATAACATAAGGACCACTACTGGAAGAGTTTCCAGTTTTTTATTAACTTTGGGTCTTAGCCAGACTGCTAATTGTGAGGCTGAACTGAGAAGGGCTTGTGGCCTAGCCCACAGGTGCTATGAGGGTATATAAGACCTCCTGGGTGAGCTGGTGAGCTTTGAAGGGCTGTTTCACTATCACAGAGCCTAACACAGTGGGATGGATGGATGCATGCATGCACTGATGGATGGGTGGGGGGTAGGTACATGGAGGAGTGAAGGGATGGATGGGTGGATGCTCGAATGGATGGGTAAGTGGTTGCACAGATGGATGAATAAATGGATAGGAAAGCGGGTGATGGGTGGATAGATGGAGAGATGGGTGGGTGGGCGGATAGATGAACTGATGTATACGTAACACTCAAATTCAATAAGAGTTCACCGGGATTAACACATGGGACTCCCAACTCCTCCCCTGCTCCTTACCACCCTGCGGTGCTTTGGAGAGTCCAAACGTCAGCCAGGCACCTCCGGGATCCAATCCTAGTCCTGACACTTCCCAGCTCTGAGGAAGGTCTTGGAAATTACTTCTCCTCTCTGTACACGCTAACCCTTATGAGAAACGGAGATGATGCTCCTACCTGACAGGTTCTTGTGAGGCCTTAACAAGATGGAGTGTGAGGTTCTCTGCAGAGGGTAGCTCTTACTGCGCAAGGGACTGTGTTCATTCTAAGACTGTGTATGTAAACAGAGGCCTAGCCCAAAGCGGGGTCTCAATCTTTGTCAGTCCCCTTCTCCATCAGGCCCCCACCCCTCCAGCCAGTCTTGCTTCCTCGCTCTCAATTCCTGGAGGCCAGCAGTTTGGTGCTGCACTTCCCCCTGGGCTGGTTTGGCAGCAGGCGCCCATCAAGTTCTCCTGTGATGAACCAGGCTGACTAACTGGATCAGAGGCAGGAAGCAACTGGGCTTTCTCCTCATCAGATTCATCCTCATCATTAGGATCAGTCACAGTTCCAGCTCAGAAGTATGGTTGCCGAATAAAATACAGTTTTGCCCAGGTCAGTTGAAATGTCCGAATAAACAACATATATTTGGATTATATAATTTTACATCAAATATATTCCATATGTTTTTATGATCCTCCTACCTGACAGGTTTTTAGTATAAATATACAGTAAGTATCAAAATATTGGGACACACATCATTCGCTGTTTATCTGAAATTCAAATTTAGCTGGGCACCCTGTATTTTATTTGCTAAATCTGGCAACCTCACTCAGTGAACTACCATGGGGGCAAATATTGGGCACACAGCCTAGGCAAGGAAGAGAGAGAAAAAAGAAATAGAAAGTGGGCAGGGGGAGGACCAAGAGAGGGTAGGGCCGTCCTCTCTTAGGTTGTTGCACGTGGACTGCAGTCAACAAATTTAACAGGCACTTCTTCGGGCTGGCATCCTGCTCAGCCCTGGGGAGCCCAAGGCGAGTGTGACAGAGACCCCTGCTTCCAGACACCCCCGCCTCCAGCCACCCCCAGCGGGTCTCATGGAGGAGGCAGCCACTCCGCAATTAATCACACAGTGTGACTAGTGGTAGGAAGGGACAACACAGGAGTCCAAGCCAGCCTTCCGTGGGTTCTAACCCAGCAGGGGGGCGGCAGGTGGGGAGTACAGTCATCCAGAGTCATCAGTCATTGCCTTGGCCTACAGACAGTTCTAGGAATTGCCCCCCACCCCGCCTGGTACAAGAAACCCCCCAGCTTAACTGAAGACAGACTTCACGCACGCACGCACACACACTCTCCCACTTACAACTTTCACATCTCCTACACATGCATTCAGTCTCACACGCAGTCACATTTAATACACTCACACACACACTCAGACCCACTCACATACTCACACGCGCATACTCTCACGCTTACACACTTGCACAAGCATGCACTCTAAGTCACACATGCTCACACACTTGCACTCCCGCACATATACACTCTCACATGCATGCATGCACACACGAGCACACGCACACTCCCAGCCCATGCCCACGGTGCCCCTGCAACCACTGGCTGGCTGCTCCTCAGTGCCAGTGCAGTCATCTCTTTCAGCTCTAAGTTAGTTCTCCAACCCTCTCCCTTGAACTTGACCCATGCTTTGATATCAGTTCAGCTGCCTGAGCGCTCTGTGGTGCACCTGCAGAACCATCGTCGGCGCAGGGCTGCCCTCGGCTGCCCAGACCAGACAGCCGGGGCCTCAGAGCGGTAGCCACCCAGCGGGCTCTGCGACTCTGCCAGCCTGTGCAGTGCCAGGCCTCCTGGCTCTCTTCAGCTCGACCACAGGGCCAGGTCCGCTCCTCTGGCTGCCCCGCCGCCCAGGCTCTTGTGTCCTCTTGGCCTTTAAGTAAATCTCAGCTGTTCCTGTAGAGCTGTGGTCCCGCCCCAGTGCCCTGCCTGCAAAACTCCCCAGGGGATGCTGCTTTTCTGCTTCTGCTGGATTGGGAAACCCCAGAGTCCGTCCGTCCATCCGTTCGTTCATTCATTCATTCATTCGTGCATGCATCAGGCAGCGTGAAGTCTTTGTTTCCCATGACAGTCACCAGAGCCACAGCTGACGTAGTTCCTGGCACGCAAGGAGATGCCTGAATGGTGATAACCCAGAGCTGACTGTCAGTGCACAGGAAACAAGGGCAACGAGCCTCCCTGCGGTGGGCTGCCAGCAGTTCAGGAGGGTTGCAGAGGCACGGAGCCCTGGTGCCACACACAGGAAGCCCTCCAGAGGTCGCCAAGCCTCCCTCTGCCACCAGGGGAACTGTGAAGGCCAGGGTGTGACCACGTCCCATGGGCGTAAGCCAAAGCGGCAATTTGCTTCATAATGCAGGTCAGGAAAGGACCCCTGTACCAAGGCAGCGACATTCTCAGAATCCACATTCCAGAGCAGGGCAGGATGGGAGCTGACGTCCACTCGTAGCTGACAATCCCCTATGTCCCTCCTGTCCCTTCTCTTGCTCTCCTCTCCTTGCCTCATCACTCTCTTCCCTAACATATCAGTTCAGACCTTTCTGGTGCCTGAGACAGAAAACAAGTAATAAATAAAATCACAAATAGTTTTATAAACAAAATAAAACAGGGGACAGAGCTAAAGAGGAGGCTGAAACTGGGAGACAAGTGTGGACGGAAGGGCCAGAGAAATCTGCTGCAAGCAGATCTTGGCTTGAATGTCACTTCCACAAACAGGTGCTCCCAGACCCTGAGTCTGAGGCAGAACCCCTGCACCTCACGCCTAGCAGGGCTGGCTTTCTGTATGGTACAAATTCACCTGTGCAAGCTGCTGAACCTCTCTGAGCCTGGCTCTCCCCATGCGGATGATGGCGATGATGCTGCTCCCTACCTCACAGCATCATCCACAGGTAAATAGGACCATCCATGCCAAGAGGTTAACACAGGCATGCAGTAGGCACGCAAGGAATTCTAGCTGTTATTTTATGCCCAGCACCTAACTGCTTAGCCTGCACAGTCAGAGCCCCGTGAAGGTTGCAGGGATTAATGGACAGACAAGTGAACGGGGGAATGAATTGATTCGGTAACTGCAAGTTCTGTTCCATCCACAACAACCGTGGATTCGTCAGTCCACACAATGGGTGCTCTACACACCACAGAGCCAAATGCTTTGTCTGCCTGGCTGGCTTTTTTCCCAGTGAACTGAGAGTTTGTTTGGGTCTCTCGGAGACAGTCCCTAGGCTCCCAGACCTCCTGGGTTTGCTCAGTTTCTAGGCTGAGACTTCAAACCGGACACTCTTCAAATAGAACATGCTTCTAACCCCAGTGCTTTCAGAGGCTGCGGACGGTTTAAGAAAGTGGAAGAGAGCAGAACCCAGATGCTCTCTGGCCTCATCTTTGATGACTGGTCCAGTTTTGACCTCAGGGAGCAGCAGTGAGAGAGCCTGGATGTGAAGAATTTTGTGTCCAAGGAATTTTTTACAACCGCTCCGAGCACTTCAAAGCCTCATTCTGAACTTGGCTCCCCAATGCTATCAGAGAGGAACCAGGCGCCTTTGAACCCTGGCAGCATGTTGGTTAGAGCAGCTGGGACTCATGCAATACTCTAATGACCAAGGAGGTTACAAAAAGGTCTTAAATGCACTAAGACATCATGAGACATCGTCGTGGGAGGCAAAAGAATGTCGGGACTAAGAGGGAAAGGCTGGAACAGCCTGTGGATTCGGAGCCTCTGGCACTCTGTGGCTGTGGAACTTTGGCCAGTGAGCAGCATCCCTGAGCCTCACCTTCCTTATCAGCAAAATGAGACAAATACTACTGCCTCCCACACAGAGCAACAAAGATGAAATAAGATAGTGACCGTTGAGTGATGCTTAGGGAAGTGCCCAGGATGCTGAAAGTTCTCGATTCAGGTCTGTGGCGGTGATGATGACGACAGCAACAATGTCAATGGTGGCAATGGTGGGGACAGAAGTGGAGAAAGTGCGGGCAATGTGGGAGGCGGCGGAGGTGTGTGAGGTAATGGCGAAAGCAGTCATCACAGAGATGCGTTGTCAAGTTTAGGTACTTCTGAATCATCCTGTGAAGAACCACTCAGCCATTTGCCTGGTGCTGGGGCTGAGCACTTGCCCAGGAGAACTGGGGAGAACTCGGACAATCTGGTTTTCATTTTGTTCCCCATAGGTCTCCTGGTCTCAGGGACAGTGGGGAGGCATGGGACCCGGGGCAGACCACGTACACAGCGAGCCTTTATCGCTTTGCAAGCAGTGCAGCGGCACTGGCATTCCAACACCACGGAGTATCACATGTAACATGGAAGCCATTCTCCACCCTGCCAGGGACAGGATCCTTTCGGTCGTGGGTGCCACTGGGCACCAGGGCATCTTGCCAAAAGGGTGGCTTCTCTGCCATTTGCCCTAACTCTCACTAAATTCCTCCCTTTAGAAACAGATGCCTGAATGCAGCCTGAATGGTTCCCTTCTCATACAAAGAGCTCACTCCCAAGCTCTGATGCAGAGGAGGGCGCTTGGCTCTGTTTCTCCAGAACCCTGGGCTCAGGCACCCATTCTCTCACCCAGCCCCCGGGCACTCGTGTCGGGCATTGGGCAACCGGTTTACCCAGACGAGAAGTGCCAAAACAGAGCAAAACCACACAAGCTTCTTGGAGGTCAACCCCAGGACCTTAACCTCAGACACAAGTCATCCTAACCAATGCCCCCATGATGGAACGGCCACAGGGTATTTGAGTACAGAAAAAAAAATTAGCAAAACAGCCAAAATCTGATAGGCCTGACACTCAAAAATCAAGAAGCTCTGTCACGATGATGAACCCAGTTTGCTTTCTGGTTCTGAGAATGTGGTTACCTGGCAAGCAAGACAACGAGAAGAGGAAGAGGAAGAACACTTGTTCTGACCTCTTCACTTTCCAGAAGGCCTTTCAGATCATCCGCCTCTCACAATCCATAGGCAGCACATAGGTCTGACAAAGGAGCAAACTGAGGCAGCAGAGTTAACCCCGGGGGTGACAGTGACCACCTGCTTCTTTGTGCTGGGGCATGAGGCTGCCATTTCCCATTGATGAGTTCTGACAAGTGACATCACTTACGTGCAGCCTGTGTCCCTGGGACATTTAAAGTCCCACCGCCAGAGATGCCATGTGCTCTCAGCAATGAGGCTCAGCACACATGTCTCCCCCTCCCATCCCAGGCACTGGTGGCTGGATCCGAAGGAGGAAAAGTGGGGGAGCCAGAGGCACAAGGCAAGGCTGTGCCTATGCAGAGTGTCAGTTCTCTGCAGCATTCTATTTTTATACTTTGGAGCCTATGTTCTAGTTTCTCTTCTTATATGTCTTTTCCAAGGTATCCTGGCCAAAAAAGGCAGGGGAGCCTACCTCTCTTTAAAGACCAAATCATTCAAGTCTCTGGCTTAGGGAATGTCACGTGGTCCCAACACCACCAGATGGGCCACGAGCAGAGCCCATCCAGGGAGTGCCTTTCCTCTCCCAGCCAAGAGGCTCGGGAGGCTAACCCAACACTGAGCAGCTTCTCCTGTGACTCCGTTCCAGCCCCTGGGGGAGGTGAGGCAGCAGCAGGGGCGGTGAGCACAGGGCGGCGTGGGGGACTGGGAGGCATACTCACAGGGCATCGGTGGACCAGCCAGTACGCCTTCTCCTGGCAATCCAGCGCGTACCTGTCTGCTTTATTCCTTTCCTTTCCAGTCCTGAAAAGACAAAAGCCATGTTTTTTGTTGTTTGTTTTTTTTTTCTTCTTCAGGTTATTAACAATTAACTCTTTTCAATTAGTTTGCATTCAATATTATTTTGTATTCGTGTCAGTATAGAGGTTGCAGAATCATATACTTTTCAAGGTGTTCCCCCTTGCGTTTCCAGTACCCACCCAGCACCATACGTCATCATTACAACATTATTGACTATATTCCTCATGCTGTGCTTTACATCTCTGTGACTGTTCTGTAACTGCCAATCTGGTCTTCTCAATCCCTTCGCCTTTTGTACCCAGCCCCCCAATTCCTCCTCCCCTCTGGCAACCATCAGTCTGTTCTCTGTATCCATGAATCTGCTGCTGTTTTGTTTGTTCATTTAGATTGTTCTTCAGATTCCACATATAAGTGAAATCACATGGTATTTGTCTTTCTCTGACCGACTTATTTCACTTAGCCTAATACCATCGGTGTCTATCCATGCTGTCACAAATGGTAAGATTTTGTTCTTACAAAAGCCATGTTTCAAGCCAGAAAGACTTGGCATCTTTTGCTCGGTGCCGGGCCCCATTCCTGAGGACCCACGCCATGCTCCCAGCCTGCCCACCTCATCCACGTTGCCAAAATGGAAATGAAAATAGCAAGCCCTGGTAGGACCCTGGTGTGCTCGGTACCCTGCTGAATGCTTTCCCACAGCCGAGCTCATCTCATCCTCTCGGTGACCTCCTCTCACTTCACAGTTCAGGGACTAAAGCAGAGGTTGGCTGTCCTGCCCGGGGTCACACTGTCAGCAGGTGGGAGGAGTGGGACTTGAACATGGATTCTCATCCCAGACAGAGTCCTGCTGGGGTGCAGTCATGCCCATGAGGAGCCATAGAAGCAAATCACCTCCAGCACCTTCACCACCAGAGTGAATGTGGACGACACCCTGGGCTGACATTTGACCACTTGCCTTTTTAATTCATCTGCTTTGGTAGACTTAACCAACATCTGCATGAGTGGGCAGCAAGCAACGCCAGCGCGCGTGACAGGGGAAATGCTGGCCTTGCGGCGTGTTCATTCCTCCCCGCCCCGTCAGTTCCACTCTTTCACTTCAAAGAGCTCGTGCCAAGTCAGGGTTTTTCTGAGCCCAGCCTACTATACAAAAGGCTATTGATTTTCCCTCCTATCTCTGAGTCTCCCCGTTTCCCATCATGGGTAGGAAATGACAATGTGGCTGCTCCCGCAGGAGCGGGCCCCCCAGGCCCCCCTCGGCACCATCTCCGTGGCGACCTGCGCTCACGCTCGGTAATGCTTGTTTTCCTAGGCAACCTGGAAGGACGTACATGCCCCCTACAAGACAGAGTTGCGGATTTATTTGCCAGCTAATGTCTTGGGAATAACGTAACAAATCCAGAGACCTAGATGGGTGGGGAGGGCCATTCCAGTGGGCTGTTGTGCCAACCTCCCCAGGAAATTAAATATAAACACTGTTGCTCCAGCTTCCCCTTGCCAACTTAACTCAATTTTCCACCAGGTTAACCACGCCGTGTCCTCAGGAGCCTGAGGCGCTGTGGAGTTTCCATGCCAGACAGCCTACTAAATAAAGTCAATCACTAATTTACTTCAATGGTCCTTCCTGGCTTTGCTCTTCTGCTCTTCCCTGATAGATGTTATTGGAGGAAAGATGCAGTAAGTGGAATCCAAGGGAGCCAGGAAATGAGGAATTATTTTACTTTGTCATATTATGATTTTTTAGCAATAGTATCACTGTATCAATTATTCATTCATTTGCTCACTCCTGTATTTATTGATCTCCCACTATGTTCCAAGCCCTGGGAGTACACTGGGGAACCAAAGAGGCTGCTATGGGCCGAACGTTTGTGTCCCGCCCCAGCCTGCAAGCTTTCAGACAGGCACTTACACCACCAGCTCCCCGGGGTCTCCAGCTTGCCGACTACACGTCACAGGACTTAATCTTCCATCACTGTGTGAGCCAATTCCTAATGATAAATCTATCCACATTGACATGCTCTTGGTTCTCTCTTCATAGAGAACCCCAATTAACTCACCACTACTCTGGTTCCAAGGAAGCTTCGTGAGAACGGGGTCTCCACCATCCAGCCCAGGCGTGCACCCGCAAGTCTAGACCTACCAGGATCTGGACCTGTTGGGATGCGGGAGGCTGGGCCATCTGGGCTTATCCATTTTGCTAATCACTGGTATCAGTCCCCAGATATTGCTGACTCCCCCTCATCTCAGACACACGGTGGTATTGTACAACCCAGCCATCCTTCTTTGAAGTTGGGCGTAACCATAGGACCAGCTTTGGCTAATGAATTGTGAGCAGAAGTGACACGTACCACTTGTGACCCACACAGCCTCCCTCCCCAACTGCTCTGGACACAGGCAAAGCCCAGGTGGTGCTGCTCCTTTAACACGGGACCTGGAGTGGGCACAGAGCATGTCAGGGCCCCAGCTGGCCCACAGGGGACACACAACACAGCTAAGAAGTGATCACTGTGGTTTCCTGCCCTGAGATGCGGGGGCTGTTTGTTACGATAGCCCAACATGGCAGGCGATACACCCTCCCTAGCAGTTACATCTGGCACTCCTGGACGAGACAGAGCCCTCCAAATCAGCGCCATTTCTGATGTGGGCAGCAGGCAAATGAGAGCAGCAGTGAGTGGTGCGAACGTGTGACTCTGGTTGTATACCTCCCCTGCTCAAAACCTTTCTATGGCTCCCCATGGCCCTTAGCACAAAACGCTCTTGCGATCTGCATCTCTAGCCTCACTTCCACCGGTTCCAATCTCTGCACTCTCCACTCCTGCTATTACAAGAAACCACTTCAAGTGGGCACGGCCCTGCTTCTAGACTCTGGTTCTGTCCGCTTAGAACACGATTTCTCCCGCCTCACCGCTCCACCCACCGTCGCCACCCTTCACCTGGACACCTCCTATGCAGCCTCCAAGTTCGATGTCATTTCTACAGCTGCTTCTGCAAACGCCTGCCTGTGGCTCTCATCTTGCCACAACAGCGCGCCACCAGCCCGGCGCACCAGACTGTGTCTTCATATTCCCTGTGCCTAGCCCAGTGTTTGACACATAAATGCCCAATAAAGGTTTGCTTCACTAAAAAGAAACAAGAAAGAGAGGGAACAAGGACAGCCAGAGGATGAATATGACCTTTCACTCACCTGTACTGTTCTTTGGCCTGCATAATGACAAAATCCCACTTGTAGTTAATTTTTTTGTTCAAGAAATTGTAATTTTCCTAGGGAAGGAGAACAAAATGAGAACACTGAGTCCGTGACATATGCCACGTGCAGTGGCCTGAAAGCCCTAAGTCAACGAGGGCATGACCCTGGTTCTGCAGCAAGCGGGCTCAGCTGAAGGGCCTTCGCCCCCGCTCTGCAAAAGTGTTTATTCAAGGGGGAGCACCAAACTCTCAAACAGCCTTTTGTAAATACATGTGTCCCATATCTGATTAGGAAGAAAATAGTGTGGGGAGGAACACGGAAACTCAATATTCAATGACAGAACCTCACAAATGCGCAAAGATAAGAGCTAACATGGATGTGATGCCAGCTCTTCTAAAAACAGGTTTGTGAAAAATAAAACCCAGCAGAATTGTTGCCATCTGCCCAGAAATCTAGCCTTTTGAGGGTTATCGTGGGTCCTTTGTGAAATCTGACTCAAACAAAAACAAAAGTCTGTACTATTGTTTTCCCATCACAAATTCAAATTCAAATCTGTTCACCAAATACATTAGCATACATATTAATTAAGTCATATTGTTTGGGGACAGCAAGGGCTTAAATTACAGCAGGAAAAATTGAAGCTGAACATGGGGAAGAATTTACTTCAGGGAGCTGCTTTTGAATATATGGATGGATAACGGAAAGATGATGGATGGATAGATGGGTGAATAGATGGATGGACAGCCAGATGGATGGCGGATGGACGGCTGGATGGCGGATGGACAGATGGATGATGGATGCGTGCATGTGTGCATGAATGATGGATGGATGATGGGCAGGTGATGGGTGGATGGCAGACAAATGATGGATAAAGGGATGGATGGGGGCACCTATGAACGTAGCTGTGGGGGAACAGGGGAAAAACAGCTCAAGATTCTATTTCACTCAATTACAATAACCTTTACTTGGAAGCATCTCTGTACCTTTTCGTGTTCTTCTAAAATCCCTTTCTTCTTGATATTTCGCTTGGTTAGATAGATGGCTGGAGAAGAAAACAACGACATTTTCCATGATCATATTTCAAGATTGCATCTGCAGCCTCTGTGTGAGAGAGGCTGCTGCGCGCGGCCTGGCGGAGAGGACACTCAGCAGACTCACTCTCTTCCCTCAGGAACACTCCCAATACAGATGTGAACGGACATAAAGGTCATGGTGACAGCAAGACAAATGTCACCAAAATGCAGCAAGTAAGTAAGCAGCATGTTAAGCACTACCAAAAGCATGGGGGTGGGGGCGGGGCGGTTACCATAGTCTGTATCTTCAGCTGGCCACTGCTGGGTTGGCCAGAAATATGGCGTCTATGAAAGAAACCAAGAAACCTTGCTTAGACAGTGGGCTGTGACCCAATAAGCCCCCCCGCCATGTAGCTTAAGAGATAAAACTTTCTTAGCCCCTTCCATTATTTCGAAAGTCCTGATCTATGAAGATATAAAGCCAAGCTACTCTCTTTTCAGAAAAGACCAACCCCAAATTAATACCCAAAGTCCAGGTCAAGACTTACCTGAAATCGGTAGAGGCTGCCATCGGGCTTGAGAATAAGATTCTTGGGGTCTTGCAGGGGATAAATGTAACCATACTTGACAATAAAGTTGCCCAAGTTCTGTGCCTCTGGGGAGAAGCAGATGAAGCATGGAAGTTAAGAACAGGCAAAAGCTCATTACCCAGCCCTCACACAGCTCCCCAGACTCCAGAAACAATGTCCACATTCTAACAGCACTTCAATAAGGAGAGAGGACAGTGGTTCTTGACCTTGGCTGTGGACAAGTATCAGCTGGGGAGCACACTAATAGGAGGATTCCCCAGCCAGCACCCTGGGAATGACAACTCAGCAGATCTGGAGGGAAGCCAGTGAACCCGAATGGTAACCCCAATAGGCCACTGCAGGTGTTTAGGGGTGACAGTTGGGGAAACCCTGGAGAAGCTTCTTTGGCTTCTCTGGGTCTGGTGAAGTCCCCAGGACAAGGGGGAGATGTTTCCGTTTGACCAGCAGACACCCCCTCACTCCCCAGGAAAAGGGGCCATGTTTACAGTCACTCTCTCACAAGCTCCACTCTGCCTGCATCCCAGGTCCCAATGCTCCGGCTCCTCCCCACCTCACGTGGACCCCCTCCTTCCCCCTCCAGTTTGCTTGGGAACATAATCTTGTTACTGAATTTGCCCTGATGACAGGAAAAGTATCCTGGCTCTTTCTTAGAGGCACCAGTGAAAGCAGGTGTCTTTCCATCATGGGCAGAGCCCTCCAGGCCTCCAGGCCCACCCCCTCCAAGGACCCAACCCCCACGCCATCCCATAGCTCAGCCTCCAAGGCTCGGGAAGAGATCCTCCCCAAACCTCCCTCCCTCCCTCCCTCCCTCTGTCCATCACAGATCCTCATTTCTCATGTCTGGTACCAACAGCCTTTACCAGTGGCAAATCGGGTCCCCAGATTCTTTCAGCTCCATTCCATCCTTCAAACTCCTGCCAAACATCCGAGCTTACACGGGACTCTCATACACACTGCCATGCTCAGAACTCCCCTAGGGCTCCCTATTGCCCGGCTCCCAGATACAACATGGAGTCTCCCTCCGCTACCCTCCATACCCAAGGTCCCCTCAGTACCAGTCTACTCCTTGTTCATCCCGTTTCTCTGTCATTGCTCTTGCCAGCTTCCCCTCTGGGAAGCCAGGGCCTCCAAGCTCCCCTCCACAATTCACAAGCATCACTTCTTCCGAGACCAGGTGTGGGTACACATCACCCCCTCCAAGAAGTCTTTCTGGACTGGCTCCTCCCCAGTTACCCCTGTTATTTACATGCTCTGGTTGTTTTACACATGAAGGCCTTGTCTCTTCCATGAAAATATCGATGTCTCAGAGACCCTGGCTAAGGCCCCATCCAGTGTCTGCCCTCTGGAGACCCTCGCATGCGGCCCACACAGCAGCCCTTGGTAACTGAGGGCCGCAGGCGCTCTCACCCAGGTTGGAGATCCAGAGCCGCTGGATGATCCACTGTAGAACGTCACTTCCTGCAAAACAGAATGTGTGGCCATCAGCAGAGCCCCCTAACACCCTTGCGGACCCCCACACTTTGCCCAGCAGGCTCCCTCCCTGCTCAGCTGTGAACTCCTTTCTCTTCTGCTCAAAACTTTCAGGGACTCTCCTCCACCGCCACCCCTACTAGGTTCAGTTCGGACCCCGCAGCCTGTCACTCAGGGCCATCTGTGATCTGAGTCAGGCCGAATTTCCAGCTTCACCTCCCCTACACACCCTCAACCTTTACCTCTCTCGTCGTACTTATCTCCTTACCTCATAATAATTTTTGCAGAGACTCAAGCAGAAAGTAAATAGACTAAGTTTTAACACTAAAAAAAGAAAAAACAAAACAAAACAAAAAATAGAACAAAACACCAGACCCAAGCAAACTGTCTGTGGAGCTCTCGACGAGGCCTGGACGCCTGGGATAAATCAGAGGCAGGGATGGGAGGAAAGCCGGGAGTAGTCTGAGAGCTGGTTCTTCTATGCCCCTGAGTTCCCAGGGAAAACTCTGAGAGTCAGAGCATTCAAACCTGGCCTTTCAGGTCATTGTGAAGGTACTTTTGTCAAAGCAAGAGGATGGGACATATGTTAGTTACTCTTTGTAGCATGATTTATAACCTTGGACCGTAGAATGTGGGCTCCACTGTTACTGTTGCCTGAGTCCAGCAAGTCTTGGGGGCTGGCCTGGGAGCAATGCAGAGTGAAGGCTGGTGCGAGCACATCAGGAGAGGCAGAGAGAGATGAGGCCAGGAGAGAACGCATATCCCTCCCACCCACCCACCAAGGATTAAGGTTTACCTAAGGGCCGAGGCAAGCCACATCCCACCAACAGGCCCAGACCTGCTGCAGGACCGCGGGGAAGCTGTGTGTCTCCTACCTAGCCTGGACACTCCGGCCCCATATGCAGAACATGCTCCTTGTAGGAGGGGGGCAACATCATCTCAGAAGGACAAGATGTCCTGGTACTAAGCACCCCCGTGCAGACGCGATCCTGCAAACACCAAAGACCTTCCTCTCCAGCAACTTCAGCCTGCTTTCCAAAGGCCAGGCTGGCCCCCTGCCTGTACGGCGACCAGCCCACAAAATACACCAAGAAGGAGAATCAGGGTCTGAGGCCCCAGTGCCCACGTCCTTGTGGCTGCACTGCTGCGAATGAGGGTTCCCTCCTCAGACATGGTGAAAGGCATGTCCTTCGGTGCCCTCCGGGAAGGGTCCTTACAGTCCACTCACACACTCTCTGGGCTTAAATCCCTTCCCTCAGCATGAGGAGGGGCTACCTGCAACCCTCCCGTCCTGTCCGTAGCCTGGGCACAGTGTCCAGCCATGATCTCGGTCAGTGCCCACATACCCACCATTCAGGCTTTCACTGGGTTCTCCCCTGTGACTCTTAGCCTTTTCCACCCCTGGTTTGCTGTTCAAAAGCAAACTTCATCTAAAATCCTAGTTAAAATCCCAAGACTGGCTGTTTCAGACCTTCCAGCCCTAGTCTCCTACACAGGGGCTTGCAGGCTGAGAGAGAGACCCAGGCAGACAGCAGACTGATTAGCGCTGTCCCCTAAGGAGCCGAGGGTTTTCTCATCCACTTGACTGCTTCCTGAAATAAATCAAATGAGATTATGGGGCCACTGGCACCTGTACCATATGGTCTGTGCAGGCTCCTACATCAGCCACCTTCATCCCCAGAAGTCCTGGGTCACCTGCCGTCCGAGGAGACAGATGTCAATTACCCAACTTGCTTTTATGAGCGCTGATCTGCAGCTGCAAGACGAGGCTTTCCCTGTGTCCTGTTCCAACAGCAGCCGGAATTCACCAGCGGGAGGAACAAGGGAATGGTGGGGTAGGCAGCCTTGGGCCCAGGGCCCAAGGGCACCCTGTGTACAAGGAAGGAAAGCGGTGTCTGCACACTGACAGGGAATAAGAGTATGGACGCTGGAGTCACATAACTGGGCTCCAGTCCAAGTTGAGTGGCATGGAGACGAGTTGCTGAACCTCTTTGCGTCTCCATGGCCCCATCTGCGAAAAGGGGGGGGGGAGCTAATTTTAGTGTGGGTATTAACTGACACAGTGTGGGAAACTGCGAGCTATTGCCCCCCTTGGAGTATCAGCTGTGTGCTGACCACGTGCCAAGTACTATCTCCTTTAATTCCTGCAGTCATTCTGTCAGACAGGGATTGCTATTCCTGCTTCTAAAATGGGAAAATTGTGGTTAGGGCTACACAGCTAGAAAAAGGCTCGCAAAGGATTTGATCCCAGGGAGCCTGACTCAACATCCAGGGCTAGAGTAGGACTGGTTCACACATTCAGTAAACTTTTATTAAATCTGTACCCTGACCCACAGCTATGCTAAGCCCTGGAGTTACCCAGATGAGCAAGAGATTTCTCCCCGTGAGGGCTTCCAAATCTCGTGGAGAATTCAGCCCAGAATTAATGACAACCAGGGGCAGAGAGGCAGCAGGGGCAGTGAAGCCTTCAGGAAGAATTGCCACAGATGGCATCCTAAATGCTGGGGGAGAGCAGAGGTACCCTGAAAAGCCTGCCCACGGATCCTGCCCTGCGGGTGCCCAGGCTATCCATCCATGGCTTTCCCAAGTCTGGCTCATCAGTTGCCTTTTCTTATGTGACCGACCTTGCCACATTCCCATCAATTCCTCTTTTGCTCCAACTCGCAAGAGTTGGTCTTCTTGCGAATTGACCAATTCTGTGGCTGGCACTCAAGGAACCCTGCATGACCCACGGCTGGCGGGAAAACCCTTCTTCCAGGCAGTCAGACAGGGAACCAAGAGATTGTTAGCCAGCTTGCCTCTGCAAAGATGAGGGCACCCTGAGTGACAAACGAATGGTCAGGACATGGGGCGGGGGACAGAGTGAGGGCGCACCAGGAGCTCCGCGCAGGGCGAGGCCCCCTGGTGCTTCGAGAAGCTGTCTGCTTCTGTAGCCAACGGGCCCTGGTGGGAAACATACCCTTTACTGCAAACTCAGAATCATAGAACATATGCTGCGTATTTATCAAAATGAGTTCTTACTTTGGGGTCCAGCCCTTTCTGGCCATATCCTCTGAGGATGTCCTGTACCTCTTTATCCCACAACCAGAGAAAGGACCCAGGGCACCATCTCCACGGGGTAGTTAAGAAGGGGCTGAATACAAATTAGAAGGTAGGAGAGGGTGGAACAAAGGCCATTTTTTTTTCTACCAAATAGTTTTGACTTCCTGCTACCTGATTCCACTAAGACATAAACAAGCAGACCAACAAAAAAAATGACAGTAAAAGTTTTTTAAATGGTCTCCTGGGAGGAATGGCTTCACAAAATGGCCCGGTGAGTCCTTTTCTCTTTCCCTTCTGACCCCTTCTTCGGAAGGGGTCCAGCAATCAGTAAACTGATTCTGTACGGGCTGAAGAGTAAATATTTGCCGCTTTGTGGGTCATGATACCGTCTCTGCACGGCTATTTAACTGCCAAAGACAATACATAAATGGGGATGTAGATGTGTTCCAATAAAACTTTATTTACAAATATAGGCTGTGGGCTGAATTTGGCCCATGAGCTCTGGTTTGCCTGCCCCTGTGTGTGGTCTCCAGGACAAGACTAAATCACAAGATATAGTACCTGTCATGGCGTGAGGGACGCTGGTGACCAGGATCTTCTGGTTCTGCACCCTGACCCCCGTCTCTGGGTCCTGCATGTCCTTCACTAATGCTTCAATCTGCAAGGCAGAAGCAAAACATCTGGCTGAGCAGAGCCATTTCAAAGGCTGAGCAAGGCTTTTCTTCACAGCACCAAGGGACCAAAAGACACAATAGTGCACACACAGAGCTCACCGCCTAGGTGGCACCAAGCAACTACAATGCCACCAGAACGGTATGCCCCACGGACACAAACACTTGCGTGTAAGTGCTCAGAGAGAGCCATCCTGGCTTGGAGGTTCTGCAGAGGCTTTCAAGAGAAGATGGGACTTGACAAAAAAATAAACGGACTTTTCTGGACAGAAAGTGAGAGCAAAGGCATGGGAGGATGGCTGCGCCCAGGGTGTGAGAGGGACAGAAAACAGTGGGAGACAAAGCCGGAAGGACAGATGGAGGCCAGGTCACAGGGGCCCTCCAATGCCATCCCCAGAAGTGGACTTTGTTCCAGCAGCTGCTTCCAAAGAGCAGCATAAGCAGGCCTGCGTTTTGTAAGTGTGGTCTCGGACAGAGAGCGGCACGCAGACGCGTGAAGAAGGTCGCCACGGTAGAGGAAAGAGGGGAGATTCATTCAAACCCATTGCTATGGTCTGGGCAAGAAATAATGGAGCTTCACCCTGGCCACTTCAACCCCCAGTCTATTCTCAGAACAGTCACAGTGAGGCTTTTAATTGTTCTAGAACATGTCACCTCTCTGCTCAAAATCCTGCAAGGGCCAATGGATTCTACTTGGAGTCAATGGCAAAGTTCCCCTCTCTGGAAGTCAGGGCAGCTGCGCACAGCTGGACATATCCTTGGGGAGGGTCGCGCCTGAAAACCAGCCTGCCCACTCCCAAACTAAAAGGGCTCTCTAGTCTACCTGCTTCCCCTCCATTTAACTAACTTGGTCACATCATCATTACTCTCCTGCTATTTAATAAAATAGTACTCTCTAATGCTGTACCGCCCTTTACGGTCTCCAAAGCCCTTTCACAGTATGCACATGCTGTGGTCCACAGAAAAGGAGCCCTGACTTAGGCAAGTTAGCCCTTCCCCCTCCCCGCAAGCCAGCCAGCTCTTGAAGCTGGGAGGCTCCCGACTCCCCAGGGAGGGAAGGAGTGTGGGCCCATGTCCTGAGGCGACACTGAGTGCCAAGATTCCTCCTTCAGTCGTTTGCTGAACCAGAGTTTGCAGCTGAACCACAATCTCCAGAAACAACTACAGTCAGGTTTCCCAAGTTGTCCAAGGTCACTCTGGGCACCGTGCCAGCAGCTCAGCCAGCAAGACTGACTGCTGACCAGCCAGTGCCTGGGGCTCCTTGTGGAAGACCAACTGCAGGCTGGCTTCATCTGCACAGACCCTTTCGTGGCTCACAGGCTTGTTCTGGAATGAAAACTATTCATTGCAGCTCTGCGCGGAGCTGCAGACCTCGGTCTTTTTAATGTCAAGGCCTGGTAGTATCTCAGGCCACTGGGTCAGCAGAGCGGCCTGCAGCAGCGCGGGGAGCAGAGAGGCACCCCCAGCAGGGTGTTGAGGGTGCTGGGAGGTGACCCCCCTCCTCCTGGACATGACCAGGGGACCAAGGAGCCACAAGCTGTGGACTCACTCCTTCCAGAGTTCTCAACTAGCCACAAGCCATGGATTTATTATGTGATTCCAAGGAGTGCCTGCCTACTCTTTGGGCGCGAGGACCCAGGCCTCCCCTTTCCCACATTACCTGCCAATGAAATCCCACGTTTATTTTAAAATAATTTTTAGATGAAATAGCAGCATTTCATGCAAACAGAGGGCCCAGATATTGGAGAAGAAATAGACATCCATCTTACAAGTTAGAGACCTGAGTTTCTCTGATGGAAAGTCATGGGTTGATCCTTTCTCTTTGTATTAAAAATAACCTAGTTATAAAGAGTTTGAAAATAACTTTCAAAGGAAGAATAATGACAGTTATTTTAAAAACACAATGAGGGAGCCAGATTTCTTTCTAGCAGGTGCATCACCCTTTCCAGAAAGGAGGGGCTATCACATAAACCTCGGGAACATTTTGAAGGAGTTGGGCCCATCAGGATGCCAATCAATTTTCCTTGGGACTTTCCTCATATAAATCCCTTGGAGGGGGTCTCCCCAGTCACCCAACAAGGAAATGATAGGACTGGCTGATGGCGCTGTCTCTGAGAAACTCTCTTAGGGGCTGACCTGTGCACCCTTCAAATTCATATGTTAAAGTCCTAACCGCCCCCCGCCTCCCCCCGCCCCAGGACCTCAGAAGGAGACTATGTTTGGAGATAGGGTCTTTAAAGAGGTAATCAAGTTAAAATGAGGCCATTAGCATGGCTCCTAATCCAATATGACTGGTGTCCTTTTAAAAAGAAGAAATCAGAAAACAGGCACACACAGAGGAAGACCATATGAGGACACAGGGGGAAAGCAGCCGTCTGCAGGCCAAGGAGAGAGGCCACACAGCAGGCGAAACCAACCCTGCCAACACCGTGAGCTCAGACTTCCTAGACTCCAGAACTGCAAGCAAATAAATTTTCTGTTGCTTAAGCCACCCAGCCTGTGGCACTTTGTCATGGCAGCCCAGGCAAATGAATACAGACTCTGGGTTCTATGTTGCGCCTCCATCAGAAAACCCCTATGCCCATTGTAGACAGGAGAGGGTCTGAATTGTTTCCCAAGTTCTGAAGGGAGCAAGAAGCCCATGTCTTTCTGCTGCCGACTGCTGCACGCATCTGTCCAGCGGGCAACCCTCTGGAGGTGAGGGAGAGGACAGCCACCCCCACCGCAAATGGCAATGCCCACTCCCGACCAGACTCAGCTCCCCAGCGCCTCCAAGGAGCCACACCTCCTTCCTAGGCAACAAATAAATGTCACGAACCCAGCCTGTGCTGGACCCCGTCTGACCCTATGTTGGGGGCAGGGGTGGCGGGCTGTCAGCCCCGCGTTTCTTCTCAGATGTCAACATGCTGCGGTGTGACTGCAGGCATGACAGGGAACCCCCACATCATGAAGGGGCAGAAATGACGGCTTTGACGGCCTCCACATCCCACCTTGCACGCCCACACCCACTCCTCGCATTAAGGAGCTGTCACTCACTGTGCAAGATCTGTGGGGCTGGAATTTTCCTTTAAGCTGGAGAAGGCTCCCAAGGGGATGATAATAATCAGTACTTTTCTGTACAAAGATGGAGAAGTGACCCAGAAGCATGGGGCTGTTTTGCTAATGAAGCAGAAGAGGCTCCTGCTAATACATCTGACCACACAGAGGCCTGCTGACCTCCTGGCCACCGGACCCCAATGTCTTGCAGACCCTCACAAGTGCCATATTCTAATTGGTGCTAATAGTCTTTCCCCAAAGCCTGCTCTTTACACCCTGGTCAAAAGCCCAAGGAGCAACCTAGATGACCCCAGACAACAGTGGTCAACACCTGTTGACACTACTTTTGTTTTTGATGTGCCTCCTCCCTGGCCCCTAAATCCTGCCTCAGTGGAACACCTAACCCCAATCCTGTACCGCCAGGTTCTGCCCACCTGTCAGCTGCATTTCGACAGACATATCTCCAGGCCCCAGTGCATCCTCCAGCCCAGGCACTGTTGACAGATGGGTCCAGGTCACTCTTGGTTGTGGGGCTGGCTGTCCTGTGCACTCTATGATGTCTAGAAACTTCCTCCCTTTACTCACTAGATGCCAATAGCAACCCCTTCCCCAGCTGCGACAACCCAAAATGTCTCCAGAGTGTGCCAAATATCTCCAGGAGCTTTCATCCTAGCTGTGTATTCAAATCACTTGGGGAGCTTTATTTAAAACACGAATGTTCACCCTGGCTGGATAGCTGAGTTGGTTAGAGCGTGGTCCCAATATGCCCAGGTTGCAGGTTTGATCCCCAGTCAGAGCGCATACAAGAATCAACCAAAGAAATGCATAAATGAGTGGAGCAACAAACTGATGTTTCTGTTTCCTTTCCTCTCTCTCTTAAAAAAAAAAAAAATCAATTTAAGAAAAAAACACTAATACTCAGGCTCCACCCCTCCCCCTTAATTACTTACTTACCTCTTAAGTAAATCATAAACTCTAAGGATGGTAACTTGATAGCAATATTTCTTAAAGTGCAGCCAGGGTGGAGAAGAACTCACACCCTCTCATCAGAATGATCTTCCTAACCTGTTAACCAACTCACTTTATTCATCTCTGATTGTAAAACATCAAACAGCTTCTCACTGAACACAGAAAGCATCCAACTCTCTAGCACAATGTACGAAGCCCCCACCTCTGGGTCCCTCCTCACTTCCCACCTTTCTGTCTCCTAAGCCACTGTGCTATGTCACACATCCGCGATTTATATTTGCCTAAAATGTCACCCAGCTTCCCATCCTGCTGGCATTAAAAAAACAAAAAACTACTTATTTTTCCAACCTCAAGTCAGTTATAAACCTTCTTGTGAAACCTGCCCTGATTCCCCTCATCCAAGTAGAACTGACCATTCCCTGATTTGTGATAGATGATAGATAGACAGATCTAGATACGGATATGGGTATATAGATATAGTTCCTCTAACCATGTGTGCCAGGACGGCCAGAACACTGTTCATACCTCTGTCTTTCTCTGTTAGACTCTAAGCTCCAGGAGGACAGGAGCCATGTCTTAATCCCTGTGGTGGCCCCATCCACTGGCACCTGCCTGGCACGAATGCACCACTATGTATGCATGATGGAGGAAAGAATGATACCAGCCAAAGATACCACACTCTGCTCAGTCTCCTGATATTGCTGTTTCTACACTCTCTCCCCACACGAAAGGAGGTGCCAGAAGCCACAGAGGAAAGCAATGCAGTGTTAACAGCACTTCTCCTCATGGCACCAAGAAAGTCAGCCTGTGGTGCATCCCACGGGCAGTGGTGCCCGAACCGGCTGGGAAGGTGGTCTGGAATCACAGAGAGGGATGGGCCAGTGCTGCGGCCACAGGAAGCAGCTCTCTGTGTGCCATCAGCTAACAGAGCCTTGGATAGGTGGGCTCTCCACCTCTCTCCTTCACATCCTAGCAAAGCCTTCCTTCACATCAGAGGTTCGCATCAGCTTGGCTGGTGGGCCTCTCTGTTCAGGGGCTGCATTGGCCTGAGATGGGGCACCGGGTATGGGAGTCACAGCAACCACAGGAAAAAGAAGGGCTCTCGAACCGGCACCTCTCCCTGGCCCTGCGCCAAGCCAGCCACTTCCTAGGTGGCTAGAGTTGTAAGGGGCACATGAAGATCCTGAGTGAACCTTCTCAACTCAGGCAAAAGTAGAAAATATCCATCTATTCCTCTCATTCACATCAGTGGTCTTTTTAATTTGCAAATATGCCCATGTCACTTGCCTACACCAAATTCTTCAATGGCTCCCTCCAGGATAAAATCAAATTACCTTCAAAAGGTTCAAAAGGCCCATGATAGCCATGGCCAAGTAGCTCAGTTGGTTAGAGCATCATCCCAATATGCCAAGGTTGCAGGTTCAATCCCCAATCAAGGCACAAATAAGAATCAACCAATGAATACATAAATAAGTGGAACAATAAATTGATGTGTGTGTGTCTCTCTCTCTTTCTCTCCTTTTCTTCTCTCTCCAAAATCAATCAATCTATCTATCTATCTATCTATCTATCTATCTATATATATACACATATATATTTAAAAGGCCCATGATGATGCCCTGGCCTATACACACACACACACACACACACACACACACACACACACACATACACACACACACACATATTTAAAAGGCCCATGATGATGCCCTGGCCCCTGCCTGCCTTCCCAGCCCCCTACTCTCCCAATATTTCAAATTCCTCCCATACTAAACAACATATCCAAATTTTCTCTGCACCTTGGCACACTCCATTCCCTCTGCCTGGAACATCCTTCTCTTTCTCCCTGCCTAGAACTTCCATTTCTCCTCAAGTTCTCAGCCCCACGTCTCCCAGATGCTCTTAGCCAGGCCTTCCCCCAGCCTCCACTCTGCCCTACATTACACGACAGCCAACACAGTATTACATATGCATAGCATTGTAACAGAAGGTGGTCGGTCCTGTATTTTTCCTGGTTCCACAACTTAGTGGTTATGTTACAAGGATAAGCCACTTAACCTCTCTGAGACTCAGTTTCTTCTCTATAAAATGATGGTTATAACCACTGTCTTATGGAATAAGTGAAATGATGCATGTAAGGCTCCCACTGGAAAATACAACATACTTCATAAGTATTCATTGACTATTTCATTGAATATCCATTGAGTCGTGAATGACAGCTGCACCCAGGTTCACATTCCTTTAGTCTGGGACCTTTCAGAAAGCTGGACGTCTAGGTGAGCTGCTTCATCATTAAGGGACCCCCTGGCATGGGCTCTTGAGACCCACTCTGCACACTTTTACCCTGTCCTACCTCCTGCTCTAAGGAGCTGCGTGACCTGGTGAAGACCTCAGTAATGAGGCTCCTCCCTTCGAAGCCAGGAGGGGAGGGCAGCACTGGAGGTGTGGGCAAGAGCCTGTGGGGCAGAGAAGGAAGTCCCTGCTCAGGTGCGTCCGGAGAACAGCTCTGCCCAGAGGAAAGATGTTGAGCTGGGCCTGGGAGGAGGAGGAGTGGAAACTTGGCACGTGAGAGGGGAGAAAAGCCTTCCCAACAGAGGAGGCTGAGGCATGAAAGGGCTGAGGTTTCTAGAAAGGTGAGCAGGTCCTTGAGGCAAGAGCCCCACTGAGTGCTTGTGGCTGCTTCGTTTTGTTTCCCTGGAGGGCAAGTGTGGAAGGTGGGCGGCAGGTAAAGCCAGAGAGATGGGTCGGAGCGGGATCCTGAGTGTCCGGGCTGAGAAGTCTGGACTTTATCCTGTGAACATGGGAAGCCAGGAAGGGCTTCAGGTCAAGGAAATCAGTGTTGATTTATGAAAGAAACTGTGTGTCTATGAAGAGTATTGTCAGGGAGAGGAGCTGGGGTAGAGGACAGGTAGGCTGGAGTGGAGAAAGGGGGGCTGGGGTGGAGGAGGGGGAGGCTGGGGTGGAGAAAGGGGGGCTGGGGTGGAGGAGGGGGAGGCTGGGGTGGAGAAGAGGGGGGCGGTGGAGAAAGGGGGGCTGGGGTGGAGAAAAGGGGGCTGGGGTGAAGAAGAGGGGGGCTGGGGTGGGGGAGGGAGAATCTGGGATGGAGGAGGGAAAAGTGGGGTAGAGGAGGGAAGGCTAGCGACCAAGGCTCCAGTCAGAAGGCCAAGGTGAAGAGAAGAAACTCTTCTATGTAACAGTCATGATGGAAAGCATGTCTGAGATTCAGAAAACAAACAGAATGTCTCCAGACAATTACTGTCTGAGCCTCCAAGCCGGTCCTGTCTGGGAAAAAGAAGGCAGACTCAGGGAAATCCTGAAGATGACTTGTAGCTTTCAGATATCGGGTGTAGGTGATTTCTTCTGCTCTTAGGAACTAGTATCTGCAGTACCTGCCTCCGTTTTATGGATGAGCCTCACACCTCTGCTGCCTCAACATGCACACAAGGTTCTGGACGTAGGTGGAACGAGTATAACCAACCGTCCCAATGTGCGCGGCACTGTCCAGGTTTCCGCATTGAAGGTCCTGGGCAAATCGGGACTGTTGGACACTGATTACCCCAATGCGCTGAGCTCCAGAGGCTCAGGGCAGGGCTCTGCTTGTCACAAAGCATTCAGCTAATTCTACTCAACAAGATAAACCTAAGATGGTGGACACCACACTGTGAAAAGTGGCTGTGGATGGAAGGAAGGGGAGACAAGTGACCTAGAACCTAATCTTCTGGTGATCTCTATGGACACCAATTATCTTAAGAGTTCAGAACAAAATGAGCCACTGTGTTCCCAAACACATCACCCCCGCAAGATGCACTTTACCTCCCCGGTGACCACAGAACACCCTGTGCCTGACCACTTGGTCTGAGAAGATCTTTGTTACGGAAAAGGTTCTGACTTTTGATACCAGCACAGAGAGATCTGTGGGAAGCAGACACACACACACTGAAAGGAGTGATGTGGGGGCGCTGGACGTGCGGAGTCCCTCTATCCTACAGATCATAGCAGTTTCATGATCGGTGTGTACACACACACACACACACACACACACACACACTTTAAAATACTGCTGTTTGTAATCTGAAAAATAACAAAAAAAAATGTTATTTTAACATCGAGTGCCTTGTAACAATATCAGGAGACAGTCTCACATCTGACAGCCTCAGCAGAACTGCCTTCTGGCACCCCCTCTCCTGAGTAACAGGTTGTTTTGAGCCTCCAGCAGACCAAATCGAATCCCCCTGGCTTCGATTTTTCCACTATAAACAGGTTAAATGTAAACCTAATTATTATAGCCTTTCAAAAACACACATACTGCAAATAAGTCATTAAATAGCACCCGCAGCAGCACTAACGGACCACAAGGGATGCTCTTCACTCCTGTCCACATGCTCCGAGCCTCCCAGCATCTCCGCGGACACTTCCCAGAGTTGGGTCTCTGCCCACCTCCCAGGGCCCAGGTGACCGGGCCACGCTTACCTTCGGGAGAAATGCCATCCTCGGCCTGTACTGCTGGCCTTGGTGTCGGATTGTCATCCTGGATCCTGGATGAAATCAGAACCAGAACGCAAAAGGGAGAGAAAAGGACAATCCCTCAAGTGAAAGAACCAGCGTGCTTGGCACACGCCCTTAAGTCCAAGGGGAGGTGGGAGGACCAAAGGGCGCAAGGGTAGGGGCAGCAGCTGCCTGCGGCGCCCCTTTACTCGCACTCGGCTCGCGCCCCTGAGAAAGCAGCTGGAATCTGCGCCAGCCAATCAGCGAGCCGTGCCGCGGGATTATTAGCATGCGCTGTGCTTGAGCCCACCTGCCACTAGGGGGCGGTGTGTGGCTCCGCCGGGACCTAGCAGAGCCTCAGGTGACACATGCATGTCCAAGACCCACAAATGGGAGGATCAGTCTTAGAGAGAAAGCTTTTCAACGCGGGACAGAGTTATGTACAGAAATGAGACAAAGCAGCCTCACTAATAAGCGCGGTGGAAAACAGTTCCTCTCCCAATTCTGCCACTGGCCCACTCGGCAATGTTAGGCAAGTTCCTTAAAGTCCCTAGGTCTCAATTTCCTTATCTGAAAAATTAAAAAGTGAGATAATATGCAACAGAAGGATTGCTATATTAATGAGTGAGGAAGTGTGTAATGTAATGCTTGGCCCTCAATAAATGTTTTGAAATGTTTAAGAGGGGAAATGATAAAGTGGATTGGTGAGATGTTGGTTAATAAAAGAAAGAAAAGTGAAGAAGAAAGAGAATCCAACTGTGGTCCTTACTGGACCAGCTGACTAGTCTAGGCACGTTCTATTTTAGTTCTCTGGTCCTTAGTGTTTTATATCTAGAAAATGAAAGAGTGACTCTCCTAAGCAATCATCAGAGCCCTTCATGTTTTGTCATATAAAGCATCTTTTCCTGGGTATTTAAGCTGGAAGGCTATTGATTGCAGCAGATAAAATGTTTCAGGTGAAAGAGAAAAAAGAGGGACTTCCCTCAGGAAGGCACAGTCAACTCATGTACTTTCAAGCAGCAGCTATTAACTGTACTTTTGAAGGTACATATTTGTAAGAATCTGTTGAAAGCTATGAACACTCTCAGGAAACATGGCTGTGTGTGCATGTGCACACATACTCACGCACCACTGACTCGAGTTTGCAAACATTTTTAAAGGGTTTATGGCTGGTCTTCTTTGGAGCTTTCCATGGGCTCCCGTCTCAGACCCAGACCACCCACTTCTAAACATCCTGGACCCTCCAGGGGTCCATCACTGAGAAGTGTGTTTCTGGTGTGAGCTGAGACCCAAGGAGAGTGCTGGAATACCCTGACTTTTTTTTTCACAGAGCATCTTCGGGGCCTAATATTATGTAGAATACACACTGGGATGTGCTGGAGCAGGGGAACTATGAGGTTTCTTCCAACTTCACCTTTCCTTATTCTCTAAACCTTAAGTAGAGAGGAGGTAACTGGCTTTCCTGAGATCAAGAATGAGAAGACTAAAATTAGTCAGGGGCAAAAATACAAGGGACTTCCTTCTGCAATAGGATAGGAGAGGCCTCAGAATGCCTGCCACTTTTTCTTCTGTCAGACCCTGTTCTCTAAGCAACCACATTGTGTGACACCCACCCTTTAGTTCACTGGAGTAGAGATGCAGGATGTGTGACTCAACAGCCGGCCCTCAGCTAATGATGTGGCCATGATGTGGATCTGAAAATCTTAGGTGAGCTTGTTAGACTCTTACCTTCATAAATGTCAACTTGAGCCAGACATAGGAAAAGTCAGGGCCAGAGGAAGTGGAAGCCAACTACAAGCTAAGGTTACGAGGAAGCAGAACTGTAAGGTGAGCAGAAGCCAAAGAGAAAAGAGAAGCAAATAAACGAAAGAGGCCAAGAGCAGCAGCGTGGCCTACAGAGAGATCCCTGGACTCGCCTGGCTCTGTGCCTCTCCAAGGACACATGCTCTTTACAAATCCTCCCATGTATTTTGAGTCTTTATTTCTTGCAACCAAAAGGATCAAACATGTAGTGTGGTGTTAAAAGTTTAGTGACCATGTCCTGAAAAAAAATTGATTTAATTTACCTATTTATTTAAACAACTAACATATTGCATGTCAGGCATTGTGCTAGAGTCAGGAATTCAAAGCAGGCTATAACTCAGTCCCTGCCTCAAGAAGCTCACAGGTTAATGGGGAGAAGAATACTTTAACAAAATGGTTATAAAATGGAATCTATTTGTAATAGTGATCCAGTCAATGCAGGGTACCTTATCCCTGCTCCATAGAAGAGAAGATCAGGAAGACTTTCTGGAGGAGGAGTCTAAAAGGAAGATAGGGGGGTTAACCAGGTGAAAAGGGATAAATGCAGGTACATCACAGAGAACAGTGCAAAAATGGACACAGAGACAAGGATCAACATGCTTTGAGGGTGGTGACAAATAATTCATTGGACACAATATCCCATGAGGTTGGGGAAAGGGAGGCAGACAGGAATCAGACAGTGAGTGGCTGGCTTTGGTAGGGGGTGGAGGATATGGAGAGTTTTGGTCAATGATTAAATGGAAGGGGCACAGGGAACTGTCTGGAGTAACAAACATTCTATATCTTGATGGGAGTGGTAGTTGCAGAGGTAAGTTTGTAAATTTGTCAAAACTCATCCAACTGCATTCTTAAAACTGGAGCATAACATTGCATGTAATCTACACCCCCCAAAAAGATTGACCCAAAAAGCAAATATTATCTTGCAATATGGCAGAGGGACATAGTACTAGAATGAAATCCCCCTGTGACTCAATCACGTAAGTGGACATCCGTCATCATTACTATTGTCACTCTAGTCATCAGTGTCCTCCTCCTCAACAGCAGGGTATGACTCAGTGCCTAAATTGTGTTCATGCTGCCCTGGACACTATATAATGTGACTTACATGGACCTTGTCTCTTGTAGGATAAGTATCACCCAGGCACAATGATGTGGTCATCCACAGGAGTGCCCTTTAAAACCCAGGTCTAAAGGTACCACCACAGGAAAATGTCTTAACATCTCCAGTCAACTCAACAATATAATTCCATTCACTGTGCTAAATACTGAGGAGATAAGCTTTAAAAGGCACGGGAGAGAGGGGGATACGTACCCTAACTCTCTCCTCCAGCTGCCTCCCATTGTTCAGTCCTGACCAGAGGCCAGAAGGCAGAGCAGCTGGGCGATGCAGTCTGCGAGGGCCAGCTTCCGGGAACACAGGCCAGGGCAGAGGTGGGCAAAAGATTCCAAGTGAGAGGGACTTGGTGCAGGGGAGAGGGTACAAACTGTGCAGAAGCAGCACAATGGGTTAAATGCCTTTGACAGGCTGGATGCCCAGAGAAGAGTTCTCAGAGGGGACCCTATGTCCCAAGCACTTTGGGCAGCTTCGTAGCTGCACCCCCTGCCCCTGCACGGACATCTCCCAGCCTGGGACGGCAATCATGTTGAATCATCTTTCTCCCAGAGCCCCTGCCCCTACTCTACCCCCTGTTTGCATTTTACATAATTCTGTCTCATGTGAATTTGTTATGTTTGTGTATTACATTTGCATTTCTTAAAAAAATCATATAGAAGAAAAATAATACCTTAGATGCATGCATGTTGCTTCCTCACTCCTACCACAGAGGCAATATCTTATAAAAACATATTCTGGTAGGAAAACCAGAGGCCCTATTTGCTACCCAGAGAGCATACAGGGCGAGCTGGACAGAATTCCCCTGTGCACGTGTAGGTTGGCACCAGGTGAGCCACAAAGCAAGTAGCGATGAAGAACAGCCACCCCTGACCCTGTACTTTTACCTCCACAAAGAAGCTATTTTACACCTCTGGAAGCTGGCCATACCTGGTGGCCTTGGCTGTGTGATCAGGGAGAGTGAGGAGGCGGGGGAAACAGTTGGAACTTTTCTGGAAGATTTCTTGCCCCTTCCTCATCCAGGAATTGTTCAGAGATTATTTGAGCCCATGGAGGCCACCAACTACATCCAAAGTACAGTCCTAGAAGAACCTCATCCTTATCTTTTTTTTTCACCCTACATGCAGAGATGATACTTTTGTAAGCATTGCCAGAGATAAGCATCATTCTGTCTGCCAGACCCAGCTCTGTGGGCTTCACCTCTGTCTACCTGTGTCTGCTACTTTTCTGTCAAGGATGTTCTTATTTTTCATTATAGAAAATTTTGAACAGTGCAGTTTTTTAAAGGACATTAAGCTTTTCCACAACTCGAAATAGGGTTAGGTATTTATTGTTTGTTGGGGTTTTTTAACAGATTTTATTTACTTTTTAGAGAGAGGAGAGGGAGGGAGAAAAAGGGAGAGAAACATCGATGTGCAGATTGGCTGCCTCTTGCACACCCTTAACCTGAGACCTGGCCCGAAACCCAGGCATGTGACCTGACCAAGAATCGAGAAAATGTGACCTTCTGCTTTGCACAGACCTGCACTCAACCCCCCTGAGCCAAACCAGCCAGGACAACTTCAAACACGCTTTGGTTTTAAGACAGCAATGGGGTGAAAGGGAAGTGCAAAAGCCTCAAGGCACCAGAAGTGTGTTCTGGTGCCTGCTCCGCCTCTGACTGGATGTGTGGCTTTTTAGAACAACCTTACTGAAGTGTATTTGGCATACACTCAACTGCACATATTTAATGTGCACAATTTGGTAAGTTTTGATATATGTATACACTTATGAAACTACACCCATGATCAAGACAGGGAGTATATCCATTTCCCCCAAAAGCTTCCTTGTGTCCTTTGTGACCCTTCCCCCTGCTGCCCCCCCAGGCAACCAACCACTGATCTACTCATTCTTCCCCTTCCTTTCTCTCTTTACCTTTAGAAGACATGCCTTCTGGGTTCAAAATTCAAGCCACTTTACAGACACCAAATGGAGTGTTTTGTGAAAAGTACACACCTTTAGGGAAGAAGGAATGTGGAGTGACTGCTAAGGAGTATGGAATGTCTTCGTGAGGTAATGAAAATGTTCCAAAATTAGATCGCGATGGTGGCTGTGCAACCTTGTGAATATAGTAAAACCACTGAATTGTATACTGTAAGAGGGTGAATTTTATGGTATGTGAATTATATTCTTAAACTTGCT